CCACCATCATTCCGATGATTTACTGGAATGGCAACGAGCTCGTTGGGAAGGACGGCCTCGAGCCCACTGGTACATATCCATTTGATGCCCCCACCGGCGAGTTCGGTCAACTTCTTGCTGACTCCAAACGGCACCTGGCTTGGACCAGGGACTTCGCGGCCCGCAAGGGCTGCGCATGCCTTGGAGTCATGACCGGCGCGAAAAGCTATCTCTACGGCTTCTCTATGATTTGGGACCGTTTCATGACGGAAGTCCGGGATTACATCATCGGCGACCCCAATCATATGTTTGTGTACGTAGATGCTACACCCTTTGTTGAGACCATCGATTTGCTGGACTGGTATCATATGTGCTTCAGTGACGACAACATCACGAAGACCGTCCAGTTCATGCGCGGAACCCATCACATGTTGTATATGCTTTCTATCTTGCGCCCCGCAATGGGCAGCGTAGCCGAGCTGACACGTTCGCATGATTGCACCATGCGTCCGATCGATGTGCTCGAGGTGCGCCACCAAGAAGATTGCACAGTCAACGTTGAGGTTCTCGCGTACTGCAAGGAGACGCTAACGAAGTGCGGTGTTTCTTTGTCAGAGATGATCGGGCTCCCTTTCACCCGTGAAGAAGTGGAAGTCCGGCAGCCCCTCGATTTCGCCCCCGTCAACCCAGCCGAGTTTGCAACTACAGGTGAGCCTTCCGGTGCTGATGTTTCCGAAAGTGTTCGCCCGGCGCAAGCCGGTGCAAAGGCGGCTGCGGTGGCAAAAAGGGACGAGGAGGCGAGCAGGCCGGTACCACTCGACTCCTACGGGAGGAGCGTGACTGGTGGCCACTATGACTGCTGGGTGTATAGCATTCATGATGGCGTGAAGTATGTCGACTACGGTGAGGGCCCCAAGAGACTCGACATCATCAAGCAGCCCTCCTTTGATTACGACCCTTCCGTCAGAAAAATCAGTGACGAATACCATCGTTCCCTGACGTGCATCTCCAAGATCCTCCGTGGTCGTGGAACAGAAGGATGCGGGTATGTGATGGATGAGGACGGCTACATGGACCTCGAAGACCTGGGACTCGCGCTTCGCAAGGAGCTGCGACATCCCATTCCATGGAACATGCAGAATATCATGGACATCTTCAAGCTGGCAGAGGTTCATCGGGCTTGGTTGCCCGGACGCAAGCCGGTGCGGAGACGTTCCATGTTCTCATTGGCTTTTCAAGCTGAAGGCCTCTCAAGGCCATGAGGACTGGCTCCAGATCGACGACTCCGGCATCGCGAAGGAGTGGTACGTGAACCCGGGGACCGACCTCGGGCGCTGGTCTGGCTGGAACGTTTGCAGCAGCCCTCCTACGGTGCTTTATCACCGCACTGATAAGCGTAACTTCGCTAACATCATGCGGAACGGACTGCTTCCAGGAGGAGGGGACCAGCACGAGACAGGCAGACCTCACGTTTTCTTCGCTGACGTCCCAAGCACGAACGAAAATTACATCTCAGGTGTACGTGCGAACAAACCCCTGGAGATACAGATCGACCTCAGGATGGCCATTCGCGCAGGGCTTTGCTTTTTCAAGACGGAGAGCGACGGCGTCCTTACGCGCGACAAGGTGCCCAACTACACGATTATTTCTGTATTGGACGCTACAAATGGCGATGTATGGTACACTCGCTCCGAGCAATCGGATGCAGGTGCACCAGCTGAGGCGACTGAGGATGAACCCCAGGGGATGAAGCGCGACCAAGCCGTGGTTGATGATCGCTCTACAGCGCTGGAACGTATTGCTACAACCCGCACAAATGTGGCTTCTCCTCGCGCCCCGCAAGGGGAAGCGAAGAGACAGAAGACTTTCAACCCAATGGAGAACGTTGAGCTGAATGTCGCCACGTGCCCGGTTTGCAACAACAGTGTCTTCGAGGGGCAGGTGCACTGCTCATCATGTGGGCAGTTGTCTCCCCACGCCTGTTGAAAGAGCAACAGAAGAATTACATTGTGCAGCGTTCCAATTTGCTGAAGAAGATGGGCCTCAGCACCCATGTCACAGCTCAGGTCCTGGCATCCGTGGGAACATTTGACCTCCGCGAGGAGGATCGTAGCAGCATCATTCGTGGCTTGAACTCCCCGGACAGTGCTGTTATTCAGGAGGCACGGAAGAAGCACAAGTCCGCCCTGAAGAACGGCTATCACTCTCTGCTTGATCGCTATGAACTCGACCTTCAATACAGGGTTCGTATGCTTGAGGTGGGCCGTCGGGAGGCGGACATGCTCCGCATGGAGTTGAGCGCAAATCTCGTCTTGGCTGCTCCAAAGCAGTCGCAAGCCCAGCGCACTCTGGGAGTTGGCCTTGGATCAACTTCGGAGTCGCGAATCGCAAGGCTCGCGTATATCAAGACAGAGTTGGAGTTCTTGCCCAACGAACTTCAAGATGCGCTTTCCTCTCGCTGGATCATTATGTTCCAAGGGATGCCTTACAGCCCAAGAGCCTTCATCAACGTGGTCTTTGAGCAAGACAAGCCTCGCAGCATTGGTTGTTGGAATGGCATCATCCACTTGCGAAGCAACACGTTGGATGACCTCCGCCACGAGATGGACTGGATTTTCAGCCAGAATGAGCGGTCTGCACGTAACTCGATCGAATTTTCGAGGAACGAGAGCAGCAAACACCTTGCTCGCAATGCCGCTCGCTATGCCGAGACAAGAGCTCCCGCCGCCCGCGAGGGTGAGCATTGGAGCCAAGGCAGCTGGCAGAATTGGTCCGGTTGGAGCGGATGGGATAACAGTAGCGGAAGCTATTCAACTTGGCAGTGGCGCTGAAAGCGCAACTGTCATGGTTTGCATGTAACAATGGTTCCCCTGACCTTCTCCCTCTGTGGTGTTACTGTTTGGCTGCTTTGTGAAAGGCCCCTTTAACACGCAGAGGGGGGTGAAGAATTTGATCGGTCAATATGGGGTTTTACATCCATTGCATCCGCAGTGTGGCTGTTCAAGCGTGAAAACGTGCGAGCAGCGCACTTGGACGGTTTGTTGTTTCCTTTTGGGCCCCAAACCGGTAACCCTTGAATCTATATATATGTCCCGCGTTGATTTCAAGGGAAGCCAAAACGAAGCATGGGACTTGAAGCAGGGCATCAATGGAGGCATATTGCGTATCAATCGCTTGTCTGCTTTCATTCCACCCAGCTTGCCAATCCCAGTGGCTGACCTTTTCCGTTGCCTTAGCTGCGCAAAGAGTGCCGAAGCAAGAAGAACCCAAACGGACCCGCCGTCAGATTGATTTAGAGAACCTTCCCTTATAGGGGGGTGGGTTTTTGAAACCCACAAAATGCACCACACCCACAAATGAGAATTACGCGCATTTAGGCAGATTGAGATTCAAAAGTATGCGGGCAACGCACTGTAGCTGATTTCATTGCAATGTGTTTGCAAGGTTTACATTGCGAGGCTTTACTTAAGATTTCGATCAGACTTCACTTCGTTCCCTGAATAAGAAATTGTTTTATTATTTGTTGATCATATTGTAAACAGGAATTCCTTTCAAATATAAATGGGAATGTCTGTCCAAATATGACTTTTAGTTGACACGTGCAGAATCTCACAACTAGAATTTACTGTAGTAAGGAAAGACAAGTTGGTCGTTTCTTCCAACTTGCTCAATTATTGGAATTGTTTTGAATCTGAATTTGGATGGGATTTCCTTCCAAGTATCTAGGATTTTAATTAGATGTTGGCTGTTATTCTAGATAGTATGGTAAGGAAAGACAAGCTGGCTGTTTCTTCAAGTTCATGCGCATATAATTTGGTTGCGGTTAGCAGGTGAAATGCCCAGGCCGCGATGGCAAATGTTTCCTTCTTGCGTATATTTTGTTGTTCTTGCTGATCCCAACCTCAACAACAAAAAATCCTCGAGAAAACCAAAAAAGCAAAACTTCAGACCCTATGTATCCATGCTGGCTGAGTTAGGCTCTCACATTTTGTTTTGTTTGTTGTTGTTGGTTTTCTCGAGGTGTTGTTTTTCGTTTTTTGGGAAAAGTGCAAACAACCTCGGGACAACCAAAAACAAACAAGCAGACCCTATGTATCCATGCTGGCTGAGTTAAGGTCTGATATTATGTGTTTGGTTTCTCGAGGTTGTTTGGTGTACCGTGGGCAAAGTGAAAAAAAACTGAGAAAACCAAAACAAAAGCAAAAGAAAAGTTTCAGACCCTATGTGTCCATGCTGGCCGAGTTAGGGTTTGACACTTGCTTTGGTTTTCTGGAGGTTTTTGTTTTGAAAGCATCAAAGAAACATGCTCAACAACTGCACAATCCCTGTGTTTCAAACCCCCCCCCCATGAGGGACCCTTCTGAAGATTTAACTCTTGGATCAGAGTATGTTGTCAAAAGGCCTGCCCCAACATTTGATCCCAGACCCCAGCGGGGCGATGTGTTTGGATTCAAGTGCCAAAAAAAATGAGGAAACAAACAAGTGCCCGCTTTTCTCTATGGCCACTTTGGATCTGGGGTATTTGTTGTTGTTGTGTTTTTTTTCTGCAGGGATTTGGAGACAAGCGGTGCCTTTTGGGACCGTTCTTGGGCAGGGGCGCAATCCGTTTTCCTTTGGCATGCCCATGTGTTTCTTGCCAAAGCATGGCCAAAAAATTGGGGGGTTGGGGGAACCCCCAAAACCGGTTGGTTGCATGTTGATTCCATTTTAAGAAGTAGCTCAGCAGATGTGCTGGACTTCATACTTTTGTGTTGCTGTGGTCACGCCCTGGGCCAGAGAAATCCAACAGAGGCACACACAAGCTTTGCTGGACTTAAAATTCATTCTGGACTCAGGAAGTGAGAAACCACGCCCTCCCCCCCAAGAACGGCACCCATGCGCCATTTGGGTATGGGTCAAAATTGAACCAACAGGATATGGGCCGCAGGTTTTAGACCGGCCGGCCATGTTTCTCCATTTGCCAGGGCCCAGTTTGGGCTTCGCAACGGTTTTTGACCACCACGCGCCAAAACGTTACCGAGGCCGGCATATTTGGGGTGCCTGCTGCCTGGCAAGGAGGGTGGCCGCCTGGCGGGGCGGCCCAAACCGACATGTGCGGGGCCTGCACAGCGCATGGGTGGGTTCCTTTGGGGTGGCAGATGAAATATGTATACATATATATATATATATATGTATATGTATATAGGTCAGGCCCTACATATATATATATATACAGATATATATATATACATATATATATATACATATATAAATATATGTGGCGTCAGCCCCCATCAACTACCTTTCCATCTTTCTTCATAAAATGACTGCAAAAACACTTGTTTTGTGGTAGAAGATGGAAAAGAAGCCAGGCGTTGATTCACTTTCGGTTTTTTGGTTTCCCCCGGAAGGATAGGCAAAAAGGAAAGCCCTTGGAAGCGGCTTTCATTTATTTCGAAACCAACTTGCTTGAGAACCCTACTTGTCATGTCGTGCCATTGCTTTTGAAAAGGGGAGTCCGTACTGAGCCCGGGATATAAAAACCGAAAGCGCAGCAACAGGCTGGGTATGGCTCGGCGAAAGTGCAGGATTCCTCACATGGGATGAATCAAGTCTTTAATTCATCAGGTGGGTCAAGGGCCACGTGCTTCTTGCGCAGCTTCGGCTGGATACCACGCCGTTGCGCAGGTGGTGGCGAGTCGCAGGAACTTGCCTGAAGCCCAGTTCGATGGTGTCAGCGTTTTTTGGTTTTTTTTCGGCGCCGTGTTCCGTGAAAAGCATCCAGGGGGATCCTTCCCCATGGGAGATGGTTTGTTTTGCAGGAGACCACCATACGCCCAGAGTACACCGCCGGCTTTTGAAAACACTGGCTGAGATGGCAACAGATTAAGATCGAGGCAAGGCAGAGGTTTCAAATGGCAACTGCTTGCATGAACCAGGTGCTCGCACGAGCGGAAGCTGTCTTCTTGGCCGTTTGGCCACAAGTCGAGTCATTAACATTCTTAGGTGTTGTCCGTTTGAGACGCGCCGAAGGACCTTTTTTCAGCTTCGGGTGTTTGCATGATCCAAAAATCTGAGCAGGTCCTGGACTTGGTTCTTTGACCGTTTTGGCAAGAAGTTGGGAATTGGTTCGCCAGTCCACAGAAGCGGATCGGGGGGGGGTGCTGGTTTCGAGGCCATTCGAACCTCGCCGTGTTTGCGAGGCTGAGCACCTTTGAGTGGCGCAGGGGCGAAGGCCTCCTGGCAAGCCGCCAGGCGCTTGGGCCACTTCCAAGCTGCTTGGTGACCTTTTTGTTCAACTCTTTGTGGAAGGGTTCCCCTAAGTCAACCGAACAAAACCAACAAAGGATGTCCATGTCTTTTCCCCCATAACCACTGGGCATCTGAGCTTCCAAGCTGGACTGTTTGAGCCGACCCCCTTTTCGCACGCACTTGTTTTGGGGGAGTTTTTGTAGCGACCAAAGCAAATCCACCTCTGAATGTTGCACATCGAACAGTCCCAGAAGCTGACGAGGGAGTTGGCCAACTGTGAGATTCGCGGCGATCCGTCGTTAATGATCAAGGTCTTTATAGTTGCCGTGTTGCCTGGGACCTGTTTCTTCGAAACACATGAGGACCCACGGGATGTTCCCAGATAAACAAGAGCTCTGCGATTTGGCTCATTGGTGCTTCTTCCCGGTTGGCTTCAAGAGGACTCAAAAACATGTCCAAAGCACCAATCCAAGCCGCCAATCACTGGAAGCTGATCTTGTCTTTTACCTTTTTCTGGTCTCTGGGCAAGTAGCATACGGGCAGGATGGAGTGTTGCAACACTCGACAAACTGTTCCGACAGCCCAATCTGGATGTCTTGGGGTAGCCTTGGCATGTTTGAGGTTACTGGGGCCATGAGAAACCGAGAAGACACCAATGTTGGCAGTGAAGCCAATCTGGATCACACGAGTCGAGCAACCTGTTGAGCCAAGGCAAACTCGAATAGCGCGTGTGGTTTTTAGTTGGTCTTTTCTGGATTTCTTGTGTTCCTCCATTCCTGCGCAGCGGACCCATATTGTTTTCATGTTTCACCTGCCAAATGTGTTGCTCACTCGGTCCCCGGATCGTCAAGTGCTAAGATGGTGCACGTTGGGATGTAGTCACGGAACCTTACTCCAACCATGATGCGCTATGATCTGCAACCCAGCAGGTTGCTTTGATGCTCATACTAGGATAAGCCAAGGCAAGAAGTCTTGCAATGTGAAAAGGCCTCTCACAGTAGGCTATGCCCCGCCCGAAGGCCCCCCAGAAGTAAGCCCACAAAGGGTACTCTTAAACAAATATGAGATACACGTGCTTCAATGGAAGCACGCACATTGGCTTCACCGTCAAGTAAGGAATGAACCGTTTTGCACTGTTGGTGTTCCAGAGCGGCTGACGTCCCGAGTTGCTTGACAATTTACGTTTCTTCCATTTGGATAGGAATATTTGTTTATTTTCCCCTCTTGGTTTTAAAGGGAATCTACCACTACTACCACTACTGGAAATATTATTATTTTTCCAGGGGACTTCAGCAAATGGAGGGTTTGGAAGATACTTCTTGGCGAACAAAACCAACAGATCTGCTGTGGGCCAATCCATTCAGGAAGTCAGGGGCGTTCCGACATCCCCAAGGAGCCGTAAGACAGTTTGGGACCAAAACCGCAAGCCATGGAACCCCAAGAATGTGTCCTTGCTGTTCATGGTCGTGGTTTTGAACTTGAGCAACTGTTATTCAGTTGTTGCCGTTGCTTGGTGGTGGTTGGTTTGCCAAAATGACAAGCCATACATTTCACCCTTTCTGATGTAGGCCTTTGCTGTATGACGAGTTGTGAAACGTTGATCAGCGTCGTACAAAGGAACCCCCGCCTTCCAATTGCTAAAGAGTAGTTGTTTTTTTCTTGTTGGTTTTCAAGGGACATGTTCACTACTGGAAGTATATCCATTTTTCCCAGGGGGCTTGAGCACAAAGCCACAGGTATTCATGGTATTTTAGCAGAAGCTCGTGGCCCCAAAGCCATCTGTGCGCCAGACCCTTACTGCCTCGAGCCCACCAAAGGTGGACTCCAGGAGCGACCGAGATGAGTCACGGACCCCAACAATTGGCGTCGGAGCCCGTTCGTGTTTGAAGCAACCGAACATGGCCGACCAGGAACCCCCAATGGCTGGCAAAAGGTCTGTGGAATGACCTCCCAATGGCTGTTTTGGGGATATTTGCCAGCCATTGGGGGGTCCTGGGAACTGTTGTATCTACGGGGTCAAAATGCCAATCCTGGGTTTGGGACGGCCCTGGCTCTGGCAGGTTGCCGGACATGTTCCGGGTTGCTTGGCTGGTTCTGTTCATTTTGGTGGGGGCTGCGCAAACACATTCAGCGTGTTGCCCACATACCGGAAGTCGGAAAGTTGATTGTCAAAGTCAGAGGCCTGCTGTTCCCCTCGAACCACACCGCCACCCCCCGCCCCCAAACACCACAAGCCCATTTTGGTCTAAGACTTGCTGGGCAGTCTTTGGGGGGGAGTGTTTGGACGCCCAACGAGGAAAAGCCTCTGATCATATGAAAGGAGCTTTCTTTGGGGCACAGGCGCGCACCGCATTTGTTTCAGGAGAACGATCCAAACCCGGACAAGAAGCCCCAAAAGACGAGTTCTGTACGTAGTGGTTCCTTTTTCCACACATGGTGGTCTTTGTGGTAGAACCAAATCGCCCGGCATGACCTTTGGCAATTGAACCTGCAACAAGTCAATGCCTCGTTCGGGGGCAGATCCTCTCAGAACCGTAGGTGTCCAAAGGCAAACTGTTGTTTGGGTGTCCTTCTAGATTGTCTCCAGACAAGTGAAATGGATGTCTCCAACAACTGTTTGTTTGAATCCCTCTTAGATTCCGGCAGTTTCGTTCTGTACCCAAATCCGACCCCCTGAAAACTGCAAAACAAGCACTCTCCACACAAGAACTTCTGTGTGTGTGTGTGTTTAGTTTCTCAGATGTCAACCCTTTGAGCATTTGAAGGAACACATCTCTCTCAAAGTGAGCCTCCAACCTCCGTCGCAAGCGCTTCGGCGAGGACTTTGGAGATGGGCCCTGCAGCTTTGCCCACTCCGCCCATCAAGCCCAGGCGGCGGTGGGCGATTTCGCCCTCCGCGACACGCGGTCCATGGGAAAACCTTTGGTAGGGCAGACCCCATGAGGTCTTATCCGGAAATATGGAGATGGGGCAAAAGCCAAATCGTACCCCCAGTGAACATCCCAAGCCCCTCTAAAATAGGTCCTAAAATGGGTGGTGAATTCACCTACCCCAAAATATTGGCTTTGACCCACAGCCATATCTTGGTTGTTGTTGGGAAACATTTTACATTTTTGCTTATTGTGCTTTAGTGGGAAATCCCCCCTTGGCTGCTAAAATTTAAATTGTTGCTCCCCTTTCAACGTCAACCAAGATATGCTCTCCCGGAGTTCCACAACTTCAGTCACTAGGTTTCGGACTTGTTTTGGTCAATCCACTCAAGTACCGCTCCTCTCTAGCAAACGGTCAATCTCCTGGCCCCATTTTTGACATGGGGGGGGGGGGACTGAGTGGGGAGACGCAAGATGCTTCCCCAAGTTTGTCGGGATGTGGATCAAATAATGTCAAGCCTCCATCAGCTCTTATCTTCGGATTTACTTGGAGGACCGTACTTTTCAGAGAAATCCCATATGAATTCTCACCAAACCGGGAACCACCCTTGACATTAGCCCCCCCAAACCAATTTTGAAGAGCCCGGACAAAGGCCTCAACTCCACTGGTTGAGGAAGCCTCCTTCACCTGGTTCTGCTACTGGGCCCATGAGTTTGCGACAAACCTGGCGGCTTTGTTCCCTAAAAAGTGTCGAATGTCCTCTTAAAACAGGCAGCACCTTCTCAATCAACCAGGGATGTATGGCCTTTGATTGGGCTGGACTTGCTATGGCGCACAGCACTTTCGAGCAATTGGATCAGATCTTCCGGAGTTCGCTTGACTGGGTTCAACTCTGCGTGCGGGATCGACCTTGCGTGGCAGAAACACGCGTGGAAGATGCCCCTAGGATACAGGCAGCCCATGAAGTTCGCGTTGGGACTTGAGACCGTCCCCAACCTTGCGGCTTGGAGCCTCACTTGGAGCCCTGTGCTTAGAATGCTTGGTTCCCAAAGATCCGAAAGGGCTGGGCAATTTTGGGAACGCCCTCCCAAGTGGTTGGTGGACATTCATTCCTTTTTCCTCCTTGGCCATTTTGGTGAGTCCTTGGGTGTTTATAGGTTGGACATCGAATTGGAAGCCCTTTTGCCCAGCCACACCAGTTGTCAGGAGCGGACAGCAGGGTTCCCAGAGGCTGTTCCACCCCAAGAGTTACCTCAGCTTGGGTTGGAGGATTGCTTGCATTTTTGCCGGCACCCATCCGGACAATGTGCTTTTTCCGCCGAGTTCGGAACCCATGTGTCTGAGACCCGTTGACCGGGTCCCGGGTCAGCCAGGAACTCACCCATGGTCATTGCCGATGACCCGGACGTGAGCTGCCGAAAGGCCCATGAGACGTCCGCCGGATTTGCAAACGAGGATATGGGGGGTGTCTTTGTTTCAGATTGCCATCAGGTTGGTTTAGAGTTGGAAAACTAAATTCCAAGCACCAGAAGAACAGATCTGCCTATTTCTCCCCGGAAATACTCACTTCAAGCTTCTTGGGTGGCACCCCATCGATTCCAGCGACGTGTGCCTTGGCGCTGCGGCTGTCGACACGTATTCCGTTGCTCGGACCTCCTTTTGGTTGGTGTTGAAAGGGGAGCCAACCATATTTGGTGATTCTTATTTTGAGGCACCGGCCCAAGAAAAAAGAAAGCCTTGTTGCTTTCCTCACATCAAATGACATGTGCTTTTGTAATCTTGCAAGGCGCAGCTTTGGCATCGCCACAGAAAGCAGCCCAGAAGTCTGCGGTTGCAAGAACATCCTCCTAGTGACCCGAGGGCCGCTTATGACCACTGAACGAGGGCATGGGGGGTCGTGATCCCTTGCATGTGCATCTCGTGTGTGTGTGTGTGTGCCTAGTATCCCAGTCCTTACGCGCCATTTGGTGCGCTGTATGGCGAAGCATGGGAGCCTGGATTGGAACCTCGCATGAATCCATTGAGTGAACCCAGCAGGTTCCCTTGGCCATCCCGAGCAACTTCTCATTGCCATCGCGCAAGGCATCCGAAGCTCAAACCAAGGACCAAAACACCTCTTGTGGGACCCGCTTGTTTTCCTTTTCCAGGGGCCAGCTTTCCTTTGCCCCGACAAGCTGACGGTGCATGTTCCTGTCATCCCAGGCCACAGAATGCAGGGTTGGGCAGAAATGGTGCAGACCCTCACCACCTTTGAAATGATTCAGGGGTGTTTCCAACATGCTGGTTGGCACCGCGACACGCTGGCCCTGACTCGAGCTGTCCGAACGAGGAGTCGAGGAATGTCGAGGATAGGATGGCTCCGCCCTTTTTCGGGTTATTGGCACGTTGCCTTGGTTCTTAAATTGAGGCCGTTTGAGCCTCATTGGTCAATGGCCAAGTGTTGATGGGCTTGCCTTTTTTGCGGGGAGAGGGGGGTGGAGAAACCGGCTTTCGCATGGATGGCTCGGATTGGTCTCAAAGTCGCCGCGTTGCCCCACCCGCCTGAGACCACCTGCCCTGCCAACAAGGGCCGAAGCGCGGTCAAGGTTGTGCCCTCAAGGTTCCACTTTTGGGCATTCTGAGATAGACTTCAACCCAGGAGTTCTCCTTGAGGACATGAACCACCCCTGGGTTTACGTCTACCTTGGCGTAGTCAAAAAGTGTAGTTCTCATTGCCCTCTTTTGGTCCAACACACAAATGGAGAGGAGGGTCATGGAAGACGACGCCATTCCTACAAGGCGTCCGGTCTTCACCTCCATGGTGGGAAGTGATGGAGGCTTCCTCCCACAAACGTAGCATCCATGCGAGGGTTTCTGGAAGAACAATTTCCAGTTGAAGGGAGCATTTCCATGTCAGGTGACTCAGGTGCCATGGCACACATGGCAGGGAGGGTAATGTTGACCCTAGATTAATCAACCTAGCGGATCACAGGGGGGTCGTTTCCGCAACATCTGAAGAATCCCCTTCAAACCGGCACGCCTAATTCTCGATTTCTCATCTACAACGCATGAACAACATATTCAGGTCCAACTGCACCAGCTCGCCAGGTCTGCAGCTCAGGCACGGAGTATGGCACAAGATCGCCCACAAACGGTGAAGGAGAACGGCCTGACGGTCCGAGTAACAAAAGCACCTTAGCCCTGCAAAATTGGCATGGCTCTTCTGAGAACCCCTTGGCCCCTTGGTTTTTGCAGATTGTTAGGACCTCCTTGGGGCCTTACGAACATCTTCTCCCAACATGAGACCTTACGAACACGGGGTGGTGCCGGTCTTGGGGGGTCCATGACTTTATCCAGACAGTTGCAGCCGTCGACGTTGATTTCCAAGCTCGTTGGGGTTGGGTTCGGGATTTGTTCTGAAATCATTTGGGGGGGGGGGGCAGCCCTTGTTCTCCCCATCACCTCCCCATCGCCATCTTGCAAGTGTGGTTCAGGTGTGATTGAGTTTTTCTGATTGGTCTTAGGTGAACAGTGGCCATGACTTGGTATGTGTATGTTTGTTGCAAGGCATCTGGCCACGACAGACAGGTTCCACCACAGACAGGTTCCGCCCACTCGTTTGGAAAGTCAAGTGCTGCATCCACCCTGAAAATCGGTGTTGCCCAAGGAAGGGCAGATGCGCCGGGAAATCCATTCTAGCCATTCTTGTCAAATTGTAGCAGAGGTGCTTCGGGTATTCAAATTTCACCAATGGGTAGGTGCGAAACATCATAGCTCAAAAGTGTTGAGGATATCATTGGATTCATGCATCGCAGCGGCTGAAACAAACCAGTATTGGGACAGTTCCTTTCCCGTGTTTCCTTTGTGGGAAGGGACATGTATGAACTCCAAGCATGGTTTTGTTCTGTGAAGCAGTCCGAGCCGATGAGAGAATGGGTCCAGCTGCATTCCCTTACCGTTACCTAGCCCAGATGGAGCCACATCTGACATTTCTTTAAGCCACCGCCTAAGTGGTCGGTCCAGGAGAACAACCCCAGTTTCGACTTTGACAACCCCCAGAAACACGCAGCACGGTGACCGCCAGTATGTTATTGTTCGCTGCTTAGTGTTTATGTATATTGCTTGCAGCAAGTTCCCGATAGCTGCGCCGTGAAAATGGTTTTCTGCATGTGTGGTCTCTTCTTGTTGCTGCTGTACTCGGTTCATGTTTTAAGAATGCCATGGGCTGCAACATGCCAAGGGTGAGAAGATACCTACAGTTGCGTCTCTAAGAATGAAAGGACTTGGAATGTGCGGTTTGTGGTTGCTTGAAGGAACTTCAGCCGTTCCCCTTGGGGTACTGTAGGCTGCTAAAATTTACATTGTTGCTCCCCTTTCAACGTCAACCCATCGACCCATCGCCGCGCTTCCGCGCTTCGGAACGCCTCGAAAGGCCCCGACCTCACGTTGCCCGGGGGCCCGGAGCGCGAGCGCTCGCTGCGAGCGCGAGAAACGCCTGGAAGCGCGAGCGAGGGTCACGCCGGAGGACTTTTGGAAATGGCGATGTGACCAGCAGGGCTCCGAATAAAAGAACTATCCATTTGTTGCCTGCCCATTTGAGTTACATGTGGCTTTTTCAACACCAAAATAAAGTTTGAAACCACCATTTACAAGGCAATGTTCAGGTGTATGATGTAAGGATCCCTGTATTTAGGTGTGGTCAAAAGTAGGTACCCAAAATGGAACCTTGGTAAATGGAAGCAGGGACGATTTCACCGGTCCCCCTTGTTTAATTTCGACCCATGCCTGTTTCATGCTTTCAGATTTTGCGAGGGAAGGTCGTCTACACAGGGTCCATTCCCCGTGAAGCTAGGTAAATGTTGCTTGTTTGACCATTGTGTCCTTGACGGGTGAAGGTTGTTCTTGGAAAAGGGCCCCAGGTGTCCTCTTGGAGGTATATTAGTTATGCCCAGACACCCAGCGGTGCCGAACAGTTTGCATGTTTTGTTTGTTTTCTTTTCCCTGGCCACTAAAATTCTGGGTATGTGCCTCAAGAAAGGGTGGCAAAAGGACCTGGTTGATGATACTCCTTTCCTTTTCCCGTTCGACTTGTTTGGCGACCTCGGCCCCTTGCCATCCCAATGTTCTGACAAGGAAACACCATGGTTTGACTGAAATAATCTTCGAGTGGCAAACCTCAGATTGACTGGATGTGTTTGTTTGTTTAGTTAGCTGGGAAGGAAAAAAGAAAGGACTGCCCATGCCCCTTGAACTGGTATCATCGGATGTGTTCCAAGCTTCCCTTGGAAATCCACAGTCCCACGGCTCGGTCCGGCCCCGAAAAGGCCGCCACTGGAGCTGGAGGCATCGGGCGCGGGGCTCGGGCGCAGATGTCGCGCAAGTTGTTTGATGGCGCTGGGAAGAGGAAACGGAGAATGGAAAGTGCGCGCTTGCACTCATAGCCGGTTTGACATTTGAGGTCTCTTGAAAAAATGCAGACAGGCAAGCAAACAAACAAGGAAAGAGAGAAAGAAACAAACAAACAAACAAACAGCGATGTTATTCTTTACGCCACGCATGAGGTTTTCCTTGGTTCCATTTTCCATTTAACCTGTACTAGTCCCTTGACCTTGGCAGGAAGCAAGTGCCTGTCTCACCATGGTGGTTTCCAACAAGGCTCGGTTTGGAAGCGGCCAACATGAAATCTAAACGGGCACCATATGTTTGTCACCATTTGCGACCATTGTGTTTTTTTGTTTTTTTGTTTTTTTTATGAGCTTCGTAAGATGTAGTAAGATGTTCCTTTGTTTGACAGTCCGAAGAATAGATCGAATGAGTTTGAATCATGTCTGACACCTCCCACCCGCGTTGCCATGGAACCCACGAAGCGGTTGACCCCTTGTAGAATTTGTCGAAGCCTTCAACCGCTCCAGTCAGGTTCCATGGCAACGCAGGGAGGGTATACAGCCCCTAGAGGTTACCCTTCTCCCTCCCAACTTTGGCGTGTGAGGTGTGTGTGACTATATACTCGCAAACATGCAACGTGGGAGGGTCCCATTACCCTCGAAAGACACATGCACAGACACAGCCAGGCACACACCCACCCACCCACCCAGCAACCCACCCATCCACCCACCCACCCACCCGGAGGTGTTGACGGGACTTGAATTCGTGTTTATTCATGTAGCCGACAACTCAGAACGAAAGACCTTCATGGCCCAGCCCTTTATCCTTGTAAAAAAAAGAACAGATTTAAATTAAAAAAGGGGGAAGAAAAAAAAACAACGATGGGATTCAAGGGGCTTTCCCAGCCCCAATTCTCATTTTCGAAGGAGGGAAACCACCGGGGCCCAGAACGCCAAGGTGTGCCCTGCGAGATGGAGCTGGTGGTGCATGAGGCCAGACGCGGCGGGCTGGGGGTCTCACGGTCTCACCTTGTCCTGTCGTCCTTCAACATCAACCAAACATAAGGCGCCTGTTTGTTCCCCCCAAAAAAATATAAAAATAGAAGAAACAAACGAGGGTGCTGTGGTTCCCATGGCAACTGGTTTGTTGCGGATGCTGAAATGAACATTGTTTGTATTCTCCCTGGTTTGTTGTAAAGGACATCTATCACTACTGGAAGTAGGTTTATTTGTTTCCAGGGGGCTTCAGCACATGGAAGGTCAACCGTCCTTGGTTTTCTCCATGGCAACTGCGGGTCTGGGTTAAAAATGCTTGTCCATGGACCCTTTTGCCAGCCCAGACATGTTCTTCCTGGCGAGCACTGGGGGCAGCACGTCCAAACATCTGCCGATGAGAGGGCGAGCCCTGTTTGTGTGGCTTCCCCACGAATCGTCAACCCCCAGCAAGGGTCCCCTTTCGCTACCAGGGTCACTGAACAGCTGAAATGTTGGCCGTATTATGATGCCCAAAACTGGAATATGTTTGAGATGAGCTCAGTTTGCTTGGGTTCACTAGGGGCCAGAATCCTTGGGCAAAATTGGTTTCAACCAAGCCCTGGTTCCTTTTTTCCGAAAAACCCGAAGGTGTTTACTCCATGGTTTGAACACATTTGCCCCCTGCCTTTCAGTGCTCAAAAGCTCGTGCGCTTGGATGAGAACCGGTTCACGAGTTCGGTTCCCAGGGTCCGATGATGTGTTTTTGGTTTTTTTTTCCGGGACCCTTCAAGGGAGGTATGGACGACTTACTATGAATACAAGCTTGTGAGGCGGTACGGAGCCCTTATATAAGTGGTATGTGTAATGTGTGTGACCTCCATACCTACAAAACCCATGCCTAAAAATGCCCTAGACTTTGGTGGACATCATTTAGGTCCACCAAGCAGTTGGGAAGGTGTAATTGGGAAGGTATTCCCCGATAAGATTCATAACGACCCCGCTCAGATTTCCTAACACAAGGTTGCTTCGGGCGGTTGCCACAAGTTTACAAAATCTCAAACTCAAAGTTTGTAGAAGTGTGAGGTGGTGTATCCTTTGTTTTCCCCAAGAACCACAGTTGCTTGCGCTGAACCACCTAACCAACCTCTACGAATTGGGTTTTGGCCATTCGCAGTATGCAGCCACGAGCCCCTGCTGGTATCAACTCTGGTGTGAATCATTTAGAAGTACGGGACACCAGCCACCAAAGAATTGTAAGGCTCCAAGCAATCAGCCTAAGTTAGAACATGGAAACCACATTAAGGATGATTTACCATAGCCAGTCCCAAGCCAACAGCCCACAACAAAAGAACCTTCCAGCCCCAACCATCGGCGCACACCAAGCTAAAACAACCCCTATATGAAGGCTTGCTGTCCGCCTGCGAAGCGTATTTGATCTTGGTTCAAACAGTTGGTGGGTGCTAAAATATATGTTTCCCAACAATGGGAAAGCAAAAAAAGATGTGAAGTTCTTCAGTTGTCGCGGGTCCCGCCCAGCTTGCTTTTTGGATCTCTCAAGCAGAGAATCCCAGCGAGTAGATGCGGCTTCCTTACCGAGAATGCTCAGGGCGCCTTAAATATTGCAAGCGAACTACCCAAAGAAATCTGGCGCATGTTGATTTTGAGGGAACCTCTTTGGGTTGGTTTAAGGGGAAACCCACGAGCTTACCAAGATGTAGGTCCTTTACTTTGAGATTTGTGTCAGGCGTTAAAATAATTAAACACAAGACATGGTTGTTGTTGGGAAACATTTTACATTCTTGCTTATTGTGGTTTAGTGGGAAATCCCCACTTAACTGCTAAAATGTAATTTGTTGCTCCCCTTCCAACGTCAACCAAGAAGCTGCAGAATTTTGAAACTGATGGTCATATCCTTTCCCTGTCGTGCACACAGGAGACAGCTCCAGAACGGCGTGATGTGGCCTCGAGCCCATCGGAGCGTCCGAGACCCCTTGGTTTCGTTGGCCTTTGAGCTCTACTTCCAAAACGCAGATGGCCATGGGTTGCATAACCTACGAGCCATTTGTGGCGAAACATGCCATTTGCCACCTTTGATGTTCACCAGGGGTACGTTTTGACCCACAGCCACATCAAGTTGGCCAATGAGTTGGTTCTCTATTGGTTGAGCGAGGGTTCTGACCTGGGGGTTGAACCCTTGGATACAGGAATCACAGGAACCCTTGGTGACTGGTTTAGCAAAAAGCAAAAACAAAACGCAAAGGCTCACCATCTGCATTGAGGAAGCGCACGTTAGCCACAATCAAGACTCGGGTAGATGAAGGTTAGGGCCAATCCCAACCAGAGATAGCTGCGGGAATCCGCCGAAGGCAATCCTTTTCTATGGCTCTGGGATTACCATTTCACCGGGTTTTGATGACTCAGGCGATCCAAATTTCCCTCCGGGCTCTCCATGGCCGAGCGAGCGGGCTCAAACCGAGCGAGCCGCCCAGGCCGAGCGAGCGGGCGGTGACGCGGAGCTTCCGGGCTGCGACCATGATACAGGACCCAAAAAGGCTGCGAAAGTGTGGGACACCGCGGCTTGAATGTCAATGAACCGCAAAAGTGGGTAGTGGACATGAATCCCCACCTAGACTGATGTACACCAAAGTTACAAATTCACACCCTGTTGCAAAGGAAACGAGATGGAAGCTAGCCACTTTGAGCGTTTCCCTATTTTTGAGACAAGCGCCGGTCTCGCCATAAATACAAAGTGGTTGGCAACTAGTTTTTTTTGGCAGACTCACGTATCTGGCAGACTCACCAGGATTGTTCATAGGAGTCATTCCCTCATTCCCTGCCTATCGAACCAGCAAGATCATGAATTGGCCTGTCTGTTGGTGATGGTTTGCCTTCTGGACAGTGTGTTGGGGAAAATGAGCTTGAATGCTAGTGGGAGGGATCTTTAACTTTGATGTTTGGGGAAAACAACAGTTTTCCCACTACTGGTAGCCTGCAATAGGTTACACTTGATGGCCGCCAATGTCGTTTGGGCCCAAAAAAGTAGCCTGATTTCAATCACAGCTTCTACTCATGGATTCATCAACCCACATGCGGGCTTCGAGATCCGCGCTAACTAAGATGATTGTCGTGTTTGTCGGACTGGCTACCTGTTTCATGTTTGACTTGTGACTTGGACAAGCTTGAAGCAATGGCATATATTGCCTAGGGCGTGTCTCTTGAGGAGAAACGCGGGGGAACGTCTTGGTGTTGGGAGGGAAAGCAACCAAATTTGGGAGGGATCCCCTCAGTTTTGAGACAAGGCCATTTCATTGAATCGCCAAACAGGGAAATCACTGAAGGAATGAGAATGAGCGCCCAGGCTTAGTTCGAAGGCAAAGTATTCCAAGAGAATCCTTCTGTATCCCCTCGTCCACTTCTGCGATAGCTCGATTGACCACAAAAAAGCGGGGTGTCTACCACCTGGTGTCATGGCTGGTTTATAGAAATGTTCACGCAGCCGATCCCTGATTGAGGATACGGTTAAAGGGCTTCAACAGGAAACCAACCAATGAAGGGGTCCCCTGAATTGAGCCAAACCCGTGTCAAGATAGGCCATAGGGAGTGAAAGAGTCAAGAGGGCAACCCTAGACCTCACTTGTTCTGGTCATTTCCAGGTCCTTTGCAAAGTGACTACAGGCTTTTTGCGGGGGGGTCGCAACCCAAACCTCGCCCAAGCCGGCCGGGTATCTTATGCCAGTCGGACCTGATGAGAGTCTTTGTCAAATTTCAGGTCCACAGGCCTCCTAAAGGTGTGGTTTCCCTTCAAACCAACCCACTCCAAACAAACAAGAATATGAGACGCCTGGATTTCGCTGAACAACCGGATTTTGCTTACCCCCCATTGTGGGCACCTGTTTTTCATCCCCCAAGTTTCGGGTCGGGTTCAGGAGATGGAGCGCAGCCCGAGGCAACGGCTCCCAGCCGCTTCCTGGTGGCGGTGTTGCTTTCGGTTGTTCCCTTTCAATCCCCTTTCAATCCCTTTGTACCCTGCAGGAATGCGCACGCACGCACACACGCACGCACGCGCACACGCACGCACGATCCGCGCGCGCACGAACACCTACGATGCAGCTGAACGTTCAAGGGGCCCCGACAACACAATGTTCAAGCCGAGTGTCACTATGCACACGGACATTCAATGAAAAGCTTTATTTGGCTGGGCCTGAAGAAACGCCGAGTTGCAGAATCCGAGGCCTGAAAACAACGCAGAAACCCCGGTCATGGAAACATGACGACTGCAGGGTTGTGTGCTAGTAGCTTACTAATAGCTTACTACTAGCTTACTAATAGCTTACTACTAGCTTACTAAGAGCTTACTAATAGCTGCCAATGGCCGATGGCTGGTACTGGAATCGTCGGATATCCGCCGAGTTCTGGGTCATATCACAGTATTCATCCCAGAAGATTTCAGCAATGTACAAGTCCACTGGGCACAGTCTGAGTGGCTCAATCAGCTGTTCAAACTGAGCGGCAAAAATGCCGAGTCGAAGGCGGGAGAAAAGTATCAAAACGTCCGAGTCTGGCTGAATTGCATTGCTCGCGGGGTCGGTCTACGTAACTATAGTCACTCCTATTAGCAAGCTATTAGCAAGCTATTTGAAACCGGGGGGGGGGGGGGTTGTAAGTCTATTGGGGCCCCAATGGCTGACTAATACGCTGCTATTAGTACGCTATTAGCAACCTTTGAAAGGGGGGGGTCTGTAAAACTTGAGTTTGTTCAGTGTTTTTGCTTCCCAGGGCTGTTTTCTGCGGGATTTGCGGACAAACCCAGGAGGCTTGAGTCGTAGGAGCATTTTCCAAAGAAACGAGCTTTAGGGGAGCAATTTCCCCGAGTGCAACCGGGTATTTAGCATTCAGGCTAGGCATGTATTCGGCACGCTCACCAAAATATCATTTATGTGATCTGAAGTACTGAGAGGCTTGAAGGACACGCTGCTCCGTCGATCACTGGACTCAACATGTTGGCGCTTGAGCACCTGAAATCCGCTCCAACACCTCGCAGGGGGATGCCAGTTCAGAGGCGACCGTGTCCGGCCGCTGGGCTGCATTTTGAGGCACTGGAGTTGAAGGAGAAACAAGAACGGTCAGAACCCTTCCAAGAATCCTAAGGTTTCAAGAACCTTGGGGGACTCCTTGGGTGTTTGCCAAATGTTCTCAACGAGCTCACCGATTCCGGGGGAAACCCAGGCCCGGTTGAAGGGGTCCTTAGTGGATGCCCTGATTTCCAATTGAGTGTGTCGTAGTCGGCGGCAGTCTCATTTGCAACCAAAGGACTGCCCTCTTTGGAAATGAGCGACTCTGTTTTGAATAAGTTGTGAACATCACTTGTCGGCTCCCAAAGTAAGCATGGGTGTGTCTGTTTGAAGAGGGTTTGTTTCAAGAGAAAAACTACAGGGAATATACCCAGTTTAGTGGGTCTCCCGGTCCCCCTATTTGGCACATACCCACATCAATTTGGCAATTGTTTCAGGGAAAAGGCATGACGATTTGTCCCCCTACAATGCAGCCCCGGCTTTGAGCACCCATGTTGTGGTGGTGGATTTGATCGGGGTGCGTTCTTGCTTGAAATTGCTACCCGGCTTAGAATCAGAAGACCAGAGGGACGGAACCCTTTTGGAAAGTTGCCAGTTCAAAAGCTCGCAGCTGCACCGGCAAACGAATCCACCAGTCAAAGGGCCAGTCCCTTCTCGCACCCACGTGGACCTGTTTTGCCGAGTCGGACGTGTTTGCGCATCGTTTGCCCAACGGTTTGGACTGTTTGGAGTTTGGAAGCGAGCCCTGGGCATTTTCCGGAGGTCGAAGGCAAACCCACGTCTCCGCTCAGGCGACGAGCGCTTGCCTGAGCTGGAGGCAGAGAAAGGGCTTCCACGCCGAGATGTTTGAAGCCGGTTCATGTGTGGCTTGTTATGCGAGTTTTTGCTGTGCACCCCTCAAGAATGGTTGGTGGACATACATCCCCATGTAAACGAAGGTCGCCATGTAAAATCCCACACACCGAATGCTCGAATGGCCACGGGTTAGTTCGGTTTCAAAGTACCTCAGAGTTACTAATTGATGATCCCTTTTAGTACGCGTCGGCTAGGGCCCGCAGTTCTTTGCAATCTGTTGTGTGCATGTGTGCGGTTCTGCACAGACTCACTTGAGCGGGTGTGCATATCATTTGGCAGGCACATTGTATTGCCGCGCGTGCTGCGCGGACCCACTTGAGCCGTATAAGTAATATTTTGGCAAGCGCGCACGCAGCGCTGAGACGAACATCTGAATCGTGTTTCGGGCTGGTCCCAAGCAAAGCGACCCGTTCGTAGGCGGTGCTCGCCATCAGCGTTTTAACCGTCATGGGCTTCCTAGGTGCGAATTCCTCTTCTTTCGTTTGGCACCCCTGGCGCGCGGGGTTGGCACAAAATTCGGGCAGCTCCAAGATCCCAAAACGCAGGAGTTGTCCTTCGGCTTGCCATCGAATCCTACCAACACGGGTTTCTAAAGAGAGAGGATCCGCACCCATGTGGCCGAAAAACCAGTGTTGTCCTTGATGCTTGCGGATTAACGCCCAAGCAGAAACGGGGTCCTGCGAAGTTTGCCTGTAACTCCCCCAACAAAGAACCAACACTGGGTTTGCAGAAAGAAATAGAGGAGCCACACACCGCACACACGCACACACAACTGGGAAAAAGGTGTGGTTGCCGCCCTTCTTTTCGTGGGCTTTGAGGTTGGCCGCCTTCAAACCCCTCCCCAAAAACACGCAAAAAATAAAAAGAGCACCGCCCCCCCCCCCAAAGAAAAAGAAAAAAGAACACACCCACATGCACACACGAAAAAAAATGACACCAAACTCGGCCCCTCCCGTGGCTTCTCTTCGGCTCCGATCTTGCCGGCTCGGTGCTCGCAAGGAGAAGAACCTTTCGGAGCCGGAGGCCTACGAGGACGACTTCGAGAACGCCTCCGAGAAGTCGGAGCGAGCGATGGGGCGAGGGGGCGTCCGGGGAGTTTTCTTCGGGAGGAGTGGCCTGAGGTCCGAGACTCGCTCGAAGGGTGCTAAGTAGTTGGTTTCAATTGTTTTTTTTGTCAAACGGACAGCCAAATGGCTGTGGTTGTCAAAGCCGTTTTGGGATCCCATTTTGGTTGGGAGGTGAATTCACCACCCATTTTAGAACCTATTTTAGTGGTTGGGATGTTCGCTGGGGGTAACCGGGTCTTTGACCGGCCAAGTGTCCTGAAGTCCGAGGTGACTTTGGAGGGTCACAAACTGGGGTTTCCGGTTGTCCAACATACAGGGTGACTTTGATAGTAGAAGAGTGGGGCCAGCAAGTTACCACTTCCTGAAGTCTTACACTGGGTCTTAGGCTGCCAAGGAGCACTTAGGCCCAAGATTAAAAGTGCCCTTGGAAATGTTGGGGCCGTAAAAAGTCGGCTGACTCTTCGTGCACACGACGCTCCGACCACTTGTAGTGAGTCCGGGGGAGAAACCTATCATCTCTGTAGAGGTCGGGAAACCTAGGTCTGCTCTTGCCAGATGTCTGCTTGGCGAAGTGAACTGCTTGGCCCTCTCCTTTCTGTGTGCTATTTCCGCTTGAGGAGCCGCTGGAGAAAGAGGAGGATATAGGAAAGGAGCGGCCTCAAGAGGACGGCCAATGGGCTGATGTCGACTTTCTGGGGCCCAAGTCGAGCCAGGCTCTTGGTTGAGCCCCCGGTTGCGGCCAGAAGCGAGTTTGACAGACTTCTAAACCTGGCCAAGGCGCTCAGCTTTTTGGGCTTTGTGCACGGTGGTTCCCTTTGAAGCGCTGCAACCCTTTTTGAGGGTACCCTCCGCAGGTCTGTTTAGAAGGAAATGCAAGCAGAGCACCATGTGTCGTGGTTTTGTCGGGGGTTTCTTCGGTCGGGTTTGTTTACAACAGTGCTTTGTCTTCGAAGGATTCCTATTCGCTTCAACTCCTCACCGGGCGTGCTGAAAGGTTTGTGCGGTTTCAGAGGTCTTTGACCATGGCACATTCCCACCCCCCCCACTCGTTGTTCTTCTGATTGATCTGGTGCAACTCAGCCCGGAGAGCCACGAAGAAGACAACAAGTCCTAGATCAACGCATCTATTCAATTCAGATATTCACCTGCACTAATCCCAGTTATTCGTCCCAAGTTGCCCCCCCCCCATCCACCCGTTCAAGCTCATTTCCTGAGTATTGGTCAGAAGCCTAAGCTACTTGTTTGCCACTCGATGGTTCCGAAAAGTGACTAACGTCCACTAAGTGGCAGGTTGCAAAAGCCGTTTGGCCCTCGGAAAGTCGAAGGGGGCCTCTGGGGAGAGAGGCTCCAGCGCTTTTGAGGGCTTCTTGTACAGTGCTTGGACCTGCCAAGGCTCCGGAGGCAGCACCATGTTGGCTTTAGACATCACCGTGAGCTCTTGGATATTCAATTTACTTGGTGGCCCCCAGCCGTTCCCTTAGCTTTTTAGGCTTTTAGTGTTTAGTGGCAGTTTCCATTTAGTCCGCTAAAAGTTGAACTTTTAGCGGGGGATCTGAGGGCAGCCCAGTTTCGTAGGTTACAACCCTTCGGGAACAAGGGGTTGGTTGCCTTAGTACCATGGTTGTAGCCTACGTAGCTTGAGCATCCAAGGGTTTCGGCTTGCTTGGCCGCAGGAGCCGGGGGAAAGGGCAGAGCGGCCGGAGAATCAGCTGGAAGAGGCAGAACAGACCGAGGAGGCGGAAAGAGAAGAGGCGGAAAGAGAAGAGGCGGAAAGAGAAGAGAAGGAAGAGAAGGAAGAGAAGGAAGAGAAGAAAGAGAAGGAAGAGAAGGAAGAGAAGGAAGAGGATGAGGAGGAAGACGAAGAGGAGGAGCAGGAAGTCGAGGAAGATGAGGAAGATGAGGAAGAAGTGGAAGAAACAGATAAAGATGAGGAACGAGAGGATGATGAGAAGGATATCGCTGAGCAAAGCTGTGTCAGCGAGTTCAGAAGAGAAGATGCCGAGGATGAGGCCTCCGGGCGGGGTTGTCTGCAAGCTGGCAATCTCCTTGGTTGCCCGCTATTTATTGATTTTAACCATGACAATGGCCCACAAAATAGATGAGTTTCGACCATGGCACACATGTCAGCTTTGATGAGAACACAGCGCTTGATTGGTAGCGGCCCAGTGCTATTCGTAACTGTTGCACTGTCCCTTCAAGTGTCATACCAACCGCTTCACAGAAACAAAGAAGTGCGGAAAGGTTTTGGGAGCAGCAAGGAAGACTTGTGACTTGCCAGCCACAACAAGAAGGCGCCATCCCTGTTCTTACCCCGAGCCTTGTGGTTCACTTCAAGTGCCTGGGGTGTCGCGGATGAGTTTGGCATCCCGGTTCCGTGGATCCACTGGAGATGTCGCTCGTTTCTTTTACCCGGCCCAGCCTTGTGCAGACCTCCAGTCCAACTCCGTAGATTCCCGTTCGTTGGTTTCAGCATCACCTGTTAAGCCAAGCAACGTGATTTTGTTTTTTGGGGAGACGTTCAAAAGGGACGAGGAGCTAATTTGTTGTTTGTTGTTTGCCAAGTCACTTTATGTCACGTTTCAGAATAACTCGCTTTGTTGACCCCTGACCAACTACGATAAACCCATTTGTTGAGCGACTCGTCGCGCTAATGCCAAATGTCGAGGTTGTTGCTGCATGCAAAGCCCAAAGGGCCGAGGTGACATTAGTCGGAACAGGACAACCCACGCGCACCACCATTGTGGTTGGGGCATACTCACTTGCACATGGGGCAAACAACGAGACACATGGGTGGGGGTACAATTCGTCGCGCGCACAGACACAGACACAGACACAGACACAGACACAGACACAGACACAGACACAGACACACACACACACACACACACACACACACACACACACACACACACACACACACACACACACACACACACACACACACACACACACACACACACACACACACACACACACACACACACACACACACACACACACACACACACACACACACACACACACACACACACACACATCCACTAGTTGGCCCAGCTGACCCAATCCCAATCATCACCTTAGTGCTTTCCTTTCCCAGGGATTCCGGAATCGATCTCCAAAATTCGCTAGTGCCCACCTAATTTGGAGGCTTTTGTGGGTTGGGTGTATCGGTCAAGCCAGTGAAAAGGGGGAAGCTCATTCTTGCCGCGGTCCAAGTTCACCGTCTTTCCGATTCTCATAGAGCCGAGGGATCTGTTTTTGAGAGTTGCTGCGATTGGGTGGTCCAATTCTCTAGGGGTTGATTCAAGAAACAAGGATCCCTGGTCAGAATGGGGAAGCAACCCTTAGAATTGTGGATACGTGCATATTTCTTACGGAGCGGAGCTGGGTAATTGAATGGCCACTTTGTGCTTAGTGGCAAACGACAAGCTTTCAAAATGGGGCCCGCGAATGGACCCGGGTCCATTTCGGATACCTGAGTCACCGCTCACAAGATGATGTGATTCAGAGCCATTGCAGGGGAGCCATTGTGAAATCCCCTGGAGCCAACGCAATACATGTGTGGCTTCCACGTCTAGGCCGTTCGGCTGACACGCGCTCAGGAGGATGAATCGGAGCAGCTTGGCAGGACAGGCCTTGTGAACTCCAGGTGCAAGAAAAGCCTTGGCCAACCAGCCTGTGGGAAACAAAGAGGGCCGAATTACCATTGGTTGCCCCTGTCTTTGTTGTTTGCAAGGAAAACGCCGGTGAATCTGAGGCCCCTTTTTGTTGAAAGGCTCCCAAACTGCTTGGTGATTGGTAGTAAACAAACAACTTCGGACCCTAGATTGCACGTCCACTGCGATGTCCTACGACCCAAGTGTTTGAGGTGCCTTCTATTCTCCGATTCTTTGGGGGGCCTAAGCTGCGTCTCTGAGCCAAAGTCCTTTTCCCTGTCCCTTTCCTTTTCAGATCTCCCGACCCAACCTCACCCTAAGCCTTTGTAATTGCCTGGGGGGTGTTTGCAACCTCCCTACAACAATTTGTGGGGCAACTTCAGCTTGATCGCATTAGCCCTGGCTCAAGTTCCAAGCTTTGCCACTTGCTCGCTCTCCTAGCAGCCGACCTAGCGCTTGCATAAGCAATGCTGAAGCCTTGCCTTTTGCTTGCCTGGGTGTGGTACCCTCTGCACGTTGCGGGCGACGGGGCTACGACTACCACTTCCGCATCTGCTGCGATTGCGACGACGTTCGAGATTGTCGGATCGGGTTTTTGTATGGATTCACAGGGCAAGTATTACGATGCATTTGGAGCTTGTGGGGACGAGGTTGCCGATTTCGATGGAACTGTGCTGTCATGCAAGGGCCGTGCTACGAAGAATGCACATGCTGTAGGCTTTGATTACTCTACGGCCGACGAGACTGGGCTTGGGGTTGCATGCTGCAAAGTACTCATGGAAAATGGTTTTGTCCCCACAGAGTTTACGTATGTGTCCTTTCGATCGCCAACATCGAATGAGGGGACTGGCGAAATTCAAAGATCATCAAGTCACAGCAGTGCCACATGTTACCGTCGCACCTGTAGCGGCCCAGGGTGTGTGACAACAAGCGGTTGTTGCGCAGGTTTCACACTTGGGCTCTTGCACGCCGGAGTCGCCATGACACCCATCCTGGTCGCTTCAAGGTTCCTTTGAGCATGTCATGTTCAGGACCTGAGCTGAAATATGCTGATCAGTGCCGGAGCAGACTTCAACATTGCTGAATTTGTTCAAGTAGGGATGTGCACCTCCCTGAAAAAGCAGCTCTCCGAAGTCGAGAAAGCTCCCTGCACTGCTGCAGTGGCAGGTGGAGCAGCAGGTAGTCAGTTTCACGGAGCTCCATGGCAAAGTCATGTGTGCCCCCTTGCACCAGCAAGGTGTGCCAAGGTGTGAGGTGTGTGTCCTCGAGCGAGGCGAGGGTAAGTAGTCGCCACGAGCACGGAGACGTTGCGGGAGGCGAGCACGAAAGATGGCGAAGCAACAGATTGGGGGGGAGCTGTCAACCTCAAGTGTCCCGAGAACTGCAATGCCCCCGAATGGGCCAGCTAAGGGACGTGAACTCAAACGTCCGGATTGAGGGTCCGCAAGCGTCTATGTCAAGTTTGCTCAGTGTTTGAGTTGTTTGTTGTTGGGGAGGGGGAGGGGGGTGCAACTAATTCAGTTGCATAATGGCATCTTCGTTCTTCTCCTAGAGGGTGTCCCTCTACCACGTTTGATCGAGGTGAGTTGTTGTTGTTGTTGTTGTCCGTTGATTACAACGGGAATGGTTTGCCACTACCTGGTATGTATGTTATTTGTCATATGTGTGCAGGTGCTTGAAAACAATGGAAGTGTAGAATCAACCAGGAAATCAGAACATGTTGTGCGCTTCTCCCATGGGACACAACCGATACTCGCGCAGTTGGAATTGTCTTGATATAGCGGCAGCCCCAAGGGCAAATTATTTGCTTCCTTCTTTCAAACGCAATCCCAACAGGGTACCCACCAATAATGGACAGGCCCGTTTTGGAAGACTGTGTTCCTTCTTGGAAAGCAGGGCCTGTGCACCACGCCATGTTTGTTGGTGGCAAGGTACCGTGAAATGAAGACGCACCCAAGTAGACCAAGTACTGGGACCTCTCTTGACATGTACAATTTACGGTTCACTAAAAACTAGGTCCCCCAGTAGTGCCCTTTTGCCATTTTTTGGGGGGGAGGGTTCCCCTACTCAAAATAGACTACAGAAAAAAACATCGGGTACCCTTATTCTAACCTCTCCTGGAGGACTTAGATAGAAGCCAACCTTAACTCAGAACCGTGTTTCGCGTTGGCTTTCGGCAGGTTCAAAACTTGTTGGACTCCGTTCGCCCAGGCCAGAGGCGTCTGCCAGGGGCGCCCAGCGGGGAGTTTTGCACCAACTGGCGGTTCAGGTGGGTTCGTCTCGAAGACTTGGTGGCTCCCAGCCATCCGGTTCCTTAGCCTTTTAGCTTTTTAGTAGTGGTAATTTCCGTTGAACCCACTAAAAGTTAAGCTTTTAGCGGGGAAACTGAGGGCAGCCCAGAATAGAGGACCCTCAAAATTGGTGGTGTCCCTGTTGTTCCCTTGAAAGCCAGCCCAAGCCGGGTACCATTAAAAAGCAAAATAAAACCTAATTCAAGTTGACCTTTTGAAGTAGCTGTGAACTTTAACAGGCGGGTTCGCCTCAGTGTTTGGTGGACAATAAATCCCCAGGTCCACCAAAAAGTCACGCACCCAAGTCACCAGCTTTCAAGACTCCTAAGTTTCCCCCTTCCCGGGTCTTTAGAGCCCCGAAAAGGAGAAGGGAAGCGGGTTCCCGCGAACGATCCCGCATCGCAGCCTTGGAAGGCTGGTAGGTCAAGGAATAGCGATGAAACGAGCTGGATCTCGTGGGTCCTTCAACTTGAGGATCCCATTCTGTTGTTTTGGAATTACTTAAGCTTTTTCTAAGTTATGAACCAGTTTACCAGGTCTGCCAGTAGTGCCCTTCTCTCCCCTTTTTCGGTTGGGAGGGTTGCCTTACTAAAATGGACTACACCCTTATTCTAACCTCTCTACTGGAGGACCTGGTTTACATGGCAAATTCAACGATCAGGGGTAAATCAGGGTACTGAAAGACTCCGGCTTTTGGGTTCACGGAATCACTGGGAGTCCTAAGTAGTATGCAACGGCAGATTCATTTGATCCACAAAGCCCAGGCCGGTGAGCTTAAGGGACAGTCCCTGTCTAGGTGCAGATCTCCGCCCTCTTAATTCTTTCGTTGGCTTAGGTCCCCTTTCCCAGCGAAGTGTAAAGGCTTCGCGTTGCCCGCCTCGGCCAGTCCGCTGTTGGCCTTGAGATATACACCGTGCTTTAGTGTGCCTTGCAGTTTTGTGTTTGCGTGAGCTGGTTTCCAAGGTACAGGGTGGGTGCATGTCTGCGTGTTTCCACATAGCTTCAAGGGCCGCAGAGAGCTACAGAATGGCAGTGAGAAAGGTTGACTGGGTTGTGGTGGAAGAGGGGGATTTTGCCGGTTTATGGAAGGATTTGGCCAGAGTTGGACCTGTTTTAGAGGGGATATGACAGGTTTCTAGAGCGGAGTTTGACCGGTTTGCTGGGAGGAAATTGACCGGCTTCAAAGGGATTTTAACTGGTTCTAGGGGATTTGAGCGGGTTGGGCCGGCTTTGAGAGGGGGAATTTGACCGGTTTCTAGGGGGCTGGGGATGGGAAGTTGACTGGTTTCTAGGGGTGGTTTTATCGGTTTCTTGACCGGTTTCTGCGGATTTTTTTGCCGGGGATTTGACCACTTTCTAGATGACCGGTTTTGGGATTTGACCGGGTTTTAGAGCGATTTGGCCGGATCGGATTTAGCAAGATCCTTTTCTGGATCTGACCGCCTCCAGGCTCGCTTCAGGCGGACTGGAGGCAGCTCAAACCGGGATTTTGGCTGCGCGATGGGGTCGGAGGTTGAAGAGGTTCTGAAGCTTCCCGGCTGGCCGAGAAACAATTTGGATTGTCAAGCATTTGGGGTCCCCAAAAGTGCGGGGCGGGCGGGGGCGGGGCGGGGATACATCACCGTGCCCAGGAGAGCTCCACCCCGGAGCCGGAGGAGTTGTCGAGTTTGAAATGGGCGAAACCCACATCGCCCCACTTTGAAACGACGGGAAACCATTATTTGTTGGTATTTAGGCGGGAATCGAATCAGTTTCTTAGGTGCAGGAGGTAGTCCATCCACTGTAGCGCAGAAGTCAAATAGCAGGTTGTGATAATTTCCCCAGATGGAATATGCCAACTTGCAATGTGTATTTGGGTCTGTCCATTTTCGAGTTGGTTGTTGAGAGCCCGTGCATTTTAAAGGAAACCAAGAAACAAAACACAATTTTGAGTTTGAGGCCCCCTATTTTGAGACACTCGAAAGGTTGTTGGTGGACATGATTCCCCACAAGAGGCAACCAAATCCGGGCTTCCTTCCTTCCATACCCCACTTCGAGTCTCGCTCGCCGGGAAAAGTGAGCTCATGCCCAGACTTCGAGTCCTTTGGGCCAGTCCTGGAAAAATGAACGGAAGCGTAAGGAACCCCATACTATTCAAGCCCTAAACGGCAAAAGGGCTTGCACAAAAGGGGTTCTATCGTGTGTGATAGACAACACATGGAGCCCAAAAAGGAGGATGTTCAGGCGCTCACCTTGGTTCCTCAAAAAGAGCCTGAATTCTGGTAGAAGAACATGGTTCTCCACATTTGAACCATTCATTGCCAACTTATCACTCTTCCCAATGATAAAGGTTGAGAATCCTAAATCCGGGAATATTACTTTTAGAATAGGCCAATACTAAACCAATTCTAAAGTAGTTTTTTCCTACCCGTGCTCAAATCCAGCCCTATTAGGGGACCCGACCCTTTTGCGCCTTCAATCCTGCAAAGGAACTTGTTTCCTTTACTACGCGGGCAGGGTTCTCCGAAAACGAACAAGGGGGCCCCTAATAATACAAACGTTTTTCCCCCGGGGGACCAGAGCATTATAAGGGGGGGCGAGGGGGGGGAGGGACCGTTTTATTATTAGGGGGCCGATGGCTCGGCGAGAGTTTTCTGGCAATTGTCAAAGTAAACTTCTAATAGCGAAATATACACATGCTCTTTTTGATCATTAGGTGACTGGGCTTTATAGAACCTCACAACCCCATTCTCATTATTGAATCCCTTACAGTGGTGTGTGATCAATTTGGGAGGGGCATGGGGGGATCACTAAACTTGCCGCAAACACCAGGTGCCATACTCATTTCCCCATGTCCCTGACTGGAGCCGCATCGTTTGACGGTTGCTCATTTGCGGGTGCCGCACCACATGAAAGCAGTCTTTGGCCCGAAAACACCAGGATGCCACTCGGCGAGAGAAGCAAGCACAGCGACGAGAGGAAGGGGTGGGAGACGCGTGCTCACACGCATCATGCGCTGTCTTGTTCTCATATCCTGGCTGCCTTTTATCTGAACCTTTAACTCGTCAGGAGAACATTTGTTCGTAGCAACCAGCACAAAGTGGTGGGGGCAATAGCCACAAGAAGGTGGCTCTCCGAGCCCTTGATTTTTTTGAGATGCGGTCGTTCTGTTTCATGGAGCGCGAGCCGCATGTTGTAAAGAAAGTGAAATTGGAACACACACACACGCGCACACACACACACACACACAAGCACATGCATATTCACCTGAAAGCGGCCAATCTGCTTGGGCTTAGCCGGTTAAATAATACAAGCATTGAAGCCCACGCGGCTGCCCAACGTTCAGATTTTATGTAAACAGTCGCATCCTGGTCGGATGCGTCTCCCGGAGAGCCGTGTGTTGTTCTGACACCTACGGTGAACCAAGAGCGTTTAGCGCAGCAAGCTCTGCCTGCTGGGTTACGGATCAACAGTTTAAGCCTTTGTTGCCGGGTTCCAAAGGTCCATACGTCATTGGAAAGGAGCCGGAGCGAGAGAAAAACACAAGGGATGCCAGATCTTGTAGCCCCTTTAATGAGAAGGATGGGTATTGTTCGCGGAGGGGTTGGTGGTGGACAATCACCTTTTGTTTTGCTTGTCGGATGGGCATTGTTCGCAGGGGGGCGGGGGGGGTGGTTGTGAACAAATAGCCTTTGCTTATCGAGGCCTCATGCATGGTTCCCCAAAAGATACATCCAACGTTTGTTTACAAGGGCATCCAAATCAGCAGGTATGTTTACGTGGGTGTGTCTTTTTAGAGGGAAACCCCTTTTGGCCGTTCCCGGGGAAACCAAAAGGTTGACGGGATCCACGCTGTTCAAAATGGTTGCGAGCGGAAGGTTCAATGTTGGGGGAATTCTAGAGTTCAAGCCGCCTGACCTCGGTTTGCATGTCGAAACCATCGGCTGGCGGCGGCCTTTCCTTACAGTTGAGAAGTAGATCGCGCAAGTCCAAGCCATTTTGGCTGAATCGATTCAGCCTTTGCTTGACGAGAGAATCGTGCCATCTACTTTCACCCCGCATGTCGGCTTAGTGGAAACATGGACGCTGGTTTCAAAATGGCCCGATTTTTCGGACCCGTCCGTTTTGCCAACACGGTCGATTGCCTTAGGGGCAGAAATCACCAAGCGTTCGCGGTCTGGGCGTTGCACTTACGCATTTGAAATCGGCCCAGGCTTCTTTTTTGCATTTCCCAGTGCTTCCAGTGCAGTTCTAGCAACCAACAAGAATCCATCATCAACCTGGAGGTAGAATGACCTTGCCTCTTGTGGCCTTCCTGAAAGCCCTGAGTTTTTTGTGACCGGAAACAAAGTCGCCAGGCTCGTCCATTTGCATCGGACAGGAGCGTCGCGCAGAGGCGGCGGCACCCGAGCTCTACAAGGCGGGCTGCGGCAGCTTTCAAGTTGGATCTTTCACCTTTGACTCATCTTCACTGTTCTTGGCATGTTTTTTGTTTTTTTAGTTTTTTGGTTCTGTTCAGTTTTACTGGGGGTCTGCAAAAAGCAAAGTTTTTTGCTACCATACCAAGAGTAGAGATGTGATGGCTGTTGTTGGGAAACATTGGGTGTGGCTGGGTGGCTGTTGTTCATGTGCCCCTGTTCAGTTTCGAAGGGAATTGAGCACTGAACACATGGTTGTTGTTGGGAAGCTGTTTGACATTTTGCTTATTGAGGGATTTAGTGGTTGAAATCCCAAATCCACCTAACTGCTGTTTTTGTTGTTTTTGTTTTGTTTGCTCCACTTCCAACGTCAACCAGGAACTGTTGAGGACAATTGTTGAAACTTGCTCCCATGAACCTGCAACAGTTTGTAAGCTTCTGCTCTTTACCCTCCCTCCAATCATGGAAGTGGACAGAGGGTTCCCCAAATGGAAAATTGTCTTCCAAAACCCTCCTGTCAGCTTCCATGATTGTTGGAAGGAGGGTAACTGTTGAGGAAAAGTGCTGAAATGTGTTCCCATGAACCTGCAAACAAAAGCAAGTTTTTGGGTAGGGGGCACGCAGCCATCAACATTCCAGTGGAAATCCTTGCTTTTGGTGGGTGTTTGGCCAATTTGAGAGTCCGGATATCTGGGTTGTTTGGAAGATCATTTTCGTGGTGCATCCAAAAGCCCAACCCCCGTTAGTCGGAGGCAGCCCATGCCTATCCCCTTTAGTGTAGGGGTCAGTGCCGTTCCTGAATCCATGGAGGTGGGTGGCTGAACCTCACCTTCTCATGGTATCATTTACACCAACTAGGTCCCCCAGTAGTGCCCTTTTACCCTTTTTGGGGGGAGGGTTCCCCTACTAAAATAGACTACAGAAAAAAAAATGGTACCCTTATTCTAACCTCTCTACCGGAGGACCTAGCCAATACCGCTGCGGGCAGTTTCTTTGGCAACAAGCGAAGCGAGCCCCTGGTTGCAGAGGTGTCTGGAACCATCACAGGTTGGTTGCAGTATTGGGTATGTGTCAGAACTCGGGAGCCTGTAATTTTGAAGGGCCTATCCAAGTTGCTGTCTTTTCACCTTGCCCAAGTCGCATGGCGATCCGAGCGGATCCATTTAAGTCGCTCATGTCAAGCGGAAGGCCTCAGCGGTTCCCTCAGGACCTGGACGATGACCTTCTGCGGCGTCGCAGGGGGAAGAAGGGTCGGAGGAGGCGCGCCGCCTTTGCATGCGCCCGTGTTCTATCATTCGACTTTCTTGTCATGCAAGTTTGCTCTTGCTCAAGTTAAAAAGGATCGCTTGGACGGCCAAGCAACCCGGCAATGTATTGCGGGCGTCAACAATTCCAACAGGTCGGTGCAGTTTATCCATTGGATTCAGAGAGGAACATATTGAGGACTGGACGGTTCGGCCTTTTGTCACTCGCACCTTGCGATATCTTTTCTTTGTCCAATATGAATGGTTGCTTATTTCCCGCGTGGGAAAGAATGTCACATGAAGTACCGTATGGATTATGTGTGCTCTATGTTATGCAGTGTCATAGGGTGTTGCGAAGACTCATGATGTTGTGCTAGGCCTTTCATCATTGCATTTGGTGCATGTCATATCATTCTAGCATTGCAACAATATGTTGTTTGCCTGATCCCGTGATGAACTCACCATTTGCGTCGATTGGTCCTGCAGAATTGATGTTCAGCGCGCTCACCTCCGAAATAATTCCGACCATTGCATGGCGATGATCTAGTTAGTCTTGGGTGTTGTGGGTTTCTCCCTGCAAATTAACATAGAACTCAAAAAGGCGGGGTCCATGTCCCCAAAGGAGATTCGTCCAAAGCAATGGTTTCGGAGTTTCAGGAGTTCCATGTCAATTTGCCGGGGAGTAGACAAGTCTATTGTTTGGTTGGCGCCCCCTCCCAAAATAACATGGTCAACCCAGCTCGAAAACGACTCCCGATTCGCGCGCCAGGTACAGTGAGGACCCGCCCGAGATCCCCCCGGCTCGGGGCCCCGGGGATCGGACGCATGCGAGTTGCTTTGGCTGAGCAGGTTTTGGCCAGACCCTGCGGGTGCCAAATCCGCGTTTCCCCCTCCCCCCCGTTTTTTGGAGGGGTTCCCTTTGACGAAAAAGCTTTGGTGAACTTCCCAAAAAGTGCCTTGGTTCCCATGGCCGGGCGGCCGGGGAAACCGACTGTGCGGACATGGAGCTTCCCCAAAGCGAAATTGGTTCTCCAAAGGCCTTCTGCCAGTTTCCATTGTTGGAGGGAGGGTAAGGCGAATCTTTGGTTGTTTGGTGCCCTGAATTTGGATTGCGTGGCTTCATAGCTAAAGAACAAATAATAGCGAAGGGTGTTGGCATACACACACACACACACACACACACACACATCTTCGGCTATTCCTAACACGTCGAGCTTGAGAAGCTACGATTCGCGCACAGGGCCAACGAAAACAGCGCATGGCAAGCCATCAAGCACACATGTTCTGCGCTTCCACACTGTAGTTGAATTTTGGACTGCGACGACAACACCGCGACGACACCACGACGACACCGCGACAACACGACCAACACGACGCGAACAAGGGTCCAACCCCCAGACCCCCACACAATAAACGGGAACCCATTGCTACGCATTCGGAGAAAATCATTGTGCTTCCTGCACAACATGCTGACGTAGCATACTAGACCTGGGGCTTGCAAAATTGATCAAATCTCGGTAACCCCCAGGGCTGGAGAGATGTTTTATTGTACATCCTAACTTTAAAAAAATCAAGCCCGGACATGGCTTCCTTGGCCAGCCCAACATGTCGCTACTGCAGGAGGGCTGGCTTGTCCTTTGGGCTTGTCAGCATTGTCTTCGTTTGGCGGTGGCTGGAACCAACATGCAAGCTTGATCATTCGACACCCAGGGGTTTGAACCAGTAGGAGGGCAGTCGCGTGCTTTGCACTTTGTTGTTTGGTTATTTGGGGCAGGGGACAGGTGATCAGCCCCCATGGGGTGACTCAACAAGTGTCCACATGTTTCACTTCTTGTCAGGATTCAACTTTCGTGGTCATTGAAACTGTGTTTCCTTGAATTGCACAGTGTTGGGATGGAGAATAGAGCCCTGAGACGCAGATGTTAGCGATTCTTGGGGCCAGCCTCCAGCCTGCTTAGACCAGTGTGGCGCGCTCTCTCTCTCTCTCTCTCTCTCTCTCTCTCTCTCTCCTCTGATCCCCCGCTTTCATGATTGTTGACAAGAGGGTAAGCCGAATGCTCGCTGGTTGCCTCTCCAAAAGAGTCCGAAGGACAACCCGTCCCGGAACATAGATTGGTGAAGCTGCCGCGTAAAGTCGTTGCATTCTATGCTGACAAAGTGTTTTGTCTTCTATTGTCATTGCTGATTCGCCCCTACAGCAAGTTGCTGCCACCCACTTGTCGTCAAGAGTGAGCAGATGGCTGCATCACATTGAATTCTACATGGCTAGCGGTGTGCTTTCAATGACCAGAGGGTTCCATATTCCCACAGGCCAGTGGCTTCCAGTCTGGGGAATCGGTCCGTGCTCTGTGCCAAGGGAATCCCTTTCAAAGTGAAACCTGTCATCATGGGAATCAACCACTTTGGTGCAGCTGTGATTTTCTGTTTTTCCATGCTGGTGATGCCACTCGAGTTTGGGATATTGGCCGTCCACGCCGTGTTTTTTTTAGATGGCGGTTTCCCCAGAGAATCAACTTTCCAAAAGGGGTGCCCCTGTTTGCCGTGGCCGGAAGTCGGCATGATTCTGCAGAAAGAAAGCAAAGCGACATGAGGGGCCATCACTGGCTTCAGGGACACTCAGGGATGCACCCACACAACCCCAATGACTTGTCTCCAAAAAAAGCGGGGACTCAACACCCTTCCAATAAGCCGATTCCCAACTTCTGGCGCCTTCAGGCAAAACACGGTGTTGGGTTTCGCTGGGGGCCCATTGAAAGCGGGGGCCCCGTGGCCCCCGCGCGCGCTTTCTCGTCGCCCAGGTGGATGAGGCGAAGAAGGCCAAGCGTGCAGCCAAGAAGGCCGCCCGCGCCAAGGCCTGCGGGCGGCGTTGCGAAGTCCCGAAATCGCACCACCGTTCAGAAACCCAACGGAATGATTCGATGTTTCAGCGTAAATACCAACAAACAATGGTTTCAACCATGGTTTCAAAGTGGTGCGAAGTGGAGTTCGTTTATTTATAGTATGAAGCCGTTGGATGAGAGCTCGGGAGAGGGTCTGGCGATTGTGAGTCTCAGTCTCGGAGTTGGACTTTTGGAGATAGTGGCAACCCAAAAGTTCAGACTTTGTTTGGGCCCATCCACGGACTGAGTCCCGAAGTGAAGCCCTGAAGCACCAAAAGGAAATGACCCAAAGGATCCCGGCTAAACTGACCCGTTTATTTCCTCTAAAATGAGAACCTGTCGGAGAAAATTGAGACTCGCTATGGTTCTTTCAGCACTCTAGCGCAAAGAGAGAGAGAGAGAGAGAGGGAGAGGTTCCTTCCTCCCTGAGTTCCAGCTCGACATTGTGACTTTTGGGACCATTTGAGTCGCAAACAAACTGCTTGGATTTGTTGTGACCAATCCTCTCAAGAAGTGAGGTTCCTTCTTGCTTTGCTCTTACTTGCTCGCGCGCGTGCTTGCTTGATTGCTTGGATCGGTTCGCCCCTTCTTGAGAATTGCTCTGAACCGTCTAAAGGATAACCACAGGATGGGAAACTGGTATGTCTAGCTTCCTGTGTGTCCTTTCTGTATGGACTAAGTTTCTATGTCGTGCCAGGTTCTTCGAGCAACTCGGTTGGTTGGCAGAATATGTGGGCTAAGCTTTTTGAGAGCCCAGCCTGAAAGCAAAAACGAGTTCCGGGATTACGAGCAGAAATCGACCACTAGTTCATATTGTGTCCAACTAAAACAGTGTCCACGCTTCCATGTGCTCAGATGTTGACCGGTTGACTCGCCAAAAGAGGCCTTCCCATGTTTGGGTCATGTGTGTTGGATGTCCAATTGGTTTGTCTTGTTGAGGGTGCCCTTTGTTTGGGTTGTTTTGGGGGGGCCTGGAGCCAAGGGAACTATATCTTGGCCAAGTACAACGAGCTTACCTCGGCTCACTCATGAAAGGTCCTTTTCTTAAGGATCCCATAATTTCAGTTGGGAATTCTTGTAGGGCGCAGATCCATACATGTTGTCTTTGTTTTGAGGGTACACTGTTGCTTTGCACCTCCCGAAACCGATCGCGAATCCGAATCCATCTCAACCGACTGGCAGGAAGATAAACCCGAGAAGGAGGCATCATCCGCCTCCAGTCGAGAGGCGGGAACCATGGGTTTGTGAGCGAAGGGTAAGGATAATCCCTGCCAGAAATTGGTGTGGATCTCCGCAATCTTGATTATTTACATGGTTTTGAGCAGGCCACTTTACGGATTAAGTTGTTTGGGTGGATCTCCCACCCAACACAACAAAAAGAGAGCAAAGATAAAGTGTGTTCTTGAATATTGCGGCGACTTGTTCAATTGGGGAAGTGCCCAGCTTAACCCCTTTTCCGAAGGAGCAAACATGAAGGGGCAAACCCTGAAAAGCAACGTAATTTCAATCATTGTTGGCTGGAGCGCGGGTTCATGGAGGCTGGTGAGCCATCACACGAGCAGCCAAAACAAAACACAAGCAAGAAGAGTCAAGTTGAGGAAATCAACTTGGGAAGCGCATCATTTGTCACATTCCACTGGCAAAATGGTTGGGATTGGCCCCCTCTGAAAAATCAACTTATTAGTGCTTATGCATGTACATATGGTAAACCGAAGATGTGCACTAGACATCCCATAGCCATCCTTGGCGGTTTTTGATTCTGCTCATGCATGGACTACCAAAACCGTGTTTTGTTTTTGTGTTCATGTTTGGTGGACGCGAAGAACCCGCATGCGAGAGCGCGCTCAGGCGCGCGCCAATCGCCGGAGGAGAAATTCAAAACGGCCGGCGGCCTACCTTGGGCTGGGAGGGTTCCTGAACCCAATGGGTGCAAATTCCACAGTAGGCCCCTGGAAAATCAACCAAAAGGCAGTGACACGGCTGGGGGTCCACTTTTCGCGCGGGGGGGGGGGGAGCGACAATTGCAAAGACAAAAGTCGAAGTTGAAAGCGGGTCGAAGCCCTGTGAGAATCCACTATGCCCTCCAAAGAATTGGGTGCAGAATTGGGAACTGAGCAACCGCAAATCTGCCAATTGGATTCCAACGTTTCGGAACCCGGTTGCTAGTGTTTGATTCCAGGCCCTTGCCAAGCTAAGGTGCGACACAAGTGATGAGGAGCAGTCCGCCCGGAACCAAGTTGGCGCCAGCTCAGAACGGGCGTCCCCTTGTGGTTTCACACGTACGAAGACCAGCTATGAAAGTTCGCCACACGCCCTAGTTGTTGGGTCTTCCAAGCAACCCCGCCCATGCTGCAACCACCCCACCCGCGCTCGTAGTGCCTTCCCCGTGTGTGGCATCCCTATGGCTCACTCGCTTCCGCGAGCTTGAACCGGCGCGCTTCGAGAAAGCTTCGAGAAAGCTCGGAGGTTGGATCCTGACCGGCGCAAAAGCCAAACTGCCGGACCCCAAAGGCAAAGCAAACGCCTGGCCGACAATCCAGGAATCCGGAGTTTGTCCCTAATGGATGATTCCCGCAAATGCCATGTGCAATGTTTCAAGCCTTAGTGGATGTGTGGTTTTCTGTGCGTAAATATGCCTGCGGTTTGCGTGTGCGCGTGTAGAATGCCGGTCGTATCGAATGTTTGGTGCTACGCGGTGCGCATGTCTACAGCCCTTACAGTGTACTTCAAGCCGAAGCCGCGAAAGTGCACATCACGAACCACTTGTGTATTTCCCGCTGTAATGTTCAAGCTGGAGCCGCAAAAGTACGCTTCACGTGTTTCTTGTTTATTTAGAAGTTGCGAGTTGGAAGCCGAAGCTGCGAACGTGTACTATCTCAAATCGAGTACTGCAACATAGCGCTGTGCCAATAGGGAAAGTTCGACGTGCGATTCCGCCAGCAAAGTCTGCAGAGGCTTCCCCATGTGGAATTTCCATCTTGCCATTCCAATGTGGAGAATTGGAAGCACGTGCAAGAGGCCACAGAAAGGTCCGCAGAGAGAGGGATCGCCGGTCAAAGTCCCGTACCTTCAGTGAACATCCCAATCCCCACTAAATAGATTAAAATGGGTAGTGCACCTACCCCAAAATGGGACCCCATTGGTTTTGACCCACAGCCATATAGGTGTGTCCCTTGATCTTGCCATTCCGACGCGGTTCCCATCCTAACCTTCTGAACCCGCCCGCTTTTGAGAGGTCGCCTTCACGCCCGCGACTGTAGCCGTTGCTTGCTGTTTGTGTTGAGCAACGAACCTTCCTTTGATAAAGCTTAAAGCCTATATCCATAGCAGAACAAAGTCCACAAAGAAAGGTTGGAGTTTGCTGGTTGTAAGTGGAAGCAACTCTTGGCGGGTTCAGGCTGGCCCATTCCTAGTTTGGGGAGGACATGTGCCGCCCCGAGTTTTTCCTTCAAAACCAGAGGTCCCCTTGGTCCAGTGTGATTTCTCGAAGATGCCACAGCTGAAGGGAATGTTAGAAGCCGCCCTGTGGAATCGTGCTAGGTGAGTTCTAGTTGCAAGCATCGGGTACATTTCCCGGAAAACCCAACGGGTTGTTCACTTCTGTCCCCGCCCTGTGGCTGGGGTTTGGACCATCCAAAACGCATCTCTATTGGGTTACTCAGTTGTTCAAAACCGACCTTTGGACCTTTTGTGTTCCCTTCTTGGTCTACTGTTAGTAGAGGTCCCAAAGGTTAACCTTTTATTTCCAGGTCCTTTGGGCAAGTGGGGTTAGGGCTTCTAACAGACCTCATGTCTTAGTCGAATGTCCACAAGTCATTACCAGGCTGAGTCTTGGGTTCTCCAAGGAATCGGAACCCGCCGAACAGGAGAGTGTCCTTTTGGCTTTCCTTGAAACCAACCCAAAACGGGTACACCTGAAAAAGACACACCTCAAAAAGATATACCTTTTGGTGACACTTCTTGCCCTTTTGGGGGGTTTCCTTCATGTGCCCTTCAACCAGCCAAAGCCGCTTTCAGCAGAGCGGTCGGATTCTGGGAAGTGAGGTCACGCCTGAGCAGGATCTTCCCGCCCGCTCCCCGGGGCATCAGATCCGATCATAGAACGCAAGTTCCTGAGTGCCTGGATGTTCAACCTCCTTGGTAGGCTAGGTCCCCAGTAGTGCCCTTTAACCCTTTCTTGCGGGAGGGTTCCCCTACTAAAATAGACTACAGAAAAAGGTTACCCTTGTTCTAACCTCTCTACTGGAGGACCAAGTAGGGTAGGGTTGTAAGTCGGATCAGATTGGGGGTGGGTTCCTTAAGACCATCGCTCACTGTTTTAGTTCTTTCTGGAGGATTCATGGAAGCTCCCACCCCATTGGAAGACATGCGTTTCCAGCTGCCTTCGGGGAGTTTGCATGGAATCGCTTGAGAGTAGATTGAACATCCAAGTAGATGCCCTCTGCAAGCTTGGAACATTACGTAGGAAGAAATGTCTCTTGGAAGGATCAGGCCTTTTCAATGGGGCAAGGTGTACCTCCCCTTCTTTACACTTGCAAGTTGCAATGGATGTGAAGCCAGGTTGAGCAACGGGCACATGATGGCAACCTCGATGTGCAAGCCCCATGCAGCTGTCTTGCTGAATGAGGCTTTCTTTGAGGGTTCCAGAAGAAAGAAACAATGGTGCCCTTGGCAGCAATGTCCCAAGAGTGTATAGGGCTGATTTGACTCTAAGTGTTAAAAAGGTGAGGCACAAGCAGACTATTCAGGTCTCCGAACTGTTCCAGCGCCCTATGTGGTGGGAAAAAAGAAGTCATTCTGCTGTAACTCTCTGGCCAGATCTCACTCATGCGGGGACCCGCTGATGCTGGTGTTACTGTTGAAGGAAGGCAGAGGTTTCCTTGCAATGCCGAATGGCTTGCTGGAGACTCGGTGATTCAACCCACATTTTGCACACCTTGACATGTGGCCTTTCGAGTCCGCCTATGATGCGCCAACCAGGTCGACATGAGGTTCATTCACGGGGGAACCAGTTGCGCAGCCTTACGAACTATGGGTTATAGCTTGTTCAAGTGGGTTTTGACTTTAGCTGGGTTGGTGTTCTTACGACATGGCGGTGTCGGACGTCACAAAAGCTGTGGTGTTTTTTTGTTTTTCGCCAACTGAGAGCGACAAGCCACCGAGGCCGGCCGGAAACGCCGAAGCCCCCGGCGATGACCGGCGCGGATGCCTGGCCACAGCCCCGAGCAGATGCCCAAGGGCTGGATGCGTTTGCTTGAAAATAAAGGCTTAAAGTTTCCAGCTGGGTGTTAAAGGAAATAAAGGACTTAGATCCATTTGCATCTGATTTTCCCTCGCTTTTATTATTATTATTATTATTATTATTTGTTTTAATTTGTTTTAAACGGGGAATCGATTTCACTGCTGGAAATATGTTTTGTTTTTTGAAGGGGGCTGAAGCTAGTGGAAGGACAGATGCTCTTGGGTTATAGATGTCCATCTTGCTTCTGGCAAGCTTCGATTGATGATTTATGCACAACAGTGTAAACTCAACTCAACATGGGACAAGGGGACATTGTCCGCTAGAATTTCGTCCTAGCAGGGGGAGGGGGTGTTCCCCCTGCTTAGACATTGGTCAAATAGGAGTTTGAACTTGGTGTGGCGACAGGTGACGTCCTTTAGCTTATCTTTGTCCACGACATTGAGCCACTCCTGGGTAAAGTCTTCGCCCTTGACATGTGCAGGGATCGCCAGCATAGAGGTCCATATGGGTGGACTTCAGCAGTGCTCATTGAGCTCATTAGAGATGAAGGTCTGGCCAAAGAATGATAATGAAGTGTCCTGTCACAGCACTTTGCTGATTTGCTGCCAAGCTGAGCCAATGTTGAGACATCAAATGTGTCTGAGCGCTGGAATGACCTGCGTGATCGTGCTCGGTCAGCGCAGCAGGAGGCCGCAAATGCCATCCTGGAGAATGTTGTTGCTCACCGTATCAATGTCGCTGGAGGAACCCTTTGGGAGACTCGGTCTCAATTGGTGTAAATCGCAAATGCGGACATAAGGAACGTAGCGGCAATTTCTTAGCAGCATTTGATGCCATGGGAGAGTTTTGCATGGGAGAGATCTACCAAACAATGACCAAATCTGAAGAAACCCAAAGAGTCTTGAGAGGAAAACCAAAACAACTAAAACAAAAGGTGCTGAGGGAAATGTTTTGGGCATGGTCAATACTTGTTTCTTGCATATTGTTTTTTGTTGTTTTGCTTGTTTCTTTTAACGGTATCCTTACACAAGTATACAGGCTTTCAAGGGAGTGCGGTTGAGGCAAGACCGCAAAAAGTAGCATTGCAGCATGCAACATATATGTCTCTTTACGGCGTTTCAAAACGCTGGCCCCATGGTGGGCCCTTCTGTTGAGCATAGGGGTCAGAAAGAGAGATCAGCCAGCAGCCAGAACCCACATGAGTGCATTGTGTGGTAACTAGGACTACACCCGTATGCAAATTGTACATAAGTGTTTCAGTTTGGTTCAGTGTAGCTGGCAATGGCATCAGCGTGATTGTGATCGACTAGCAGTGCCACTTTGCTTTTCCAAAAAGGCAGCGGGGAAAACATACTGTGGGAGTGTCCGATTCATATTTGGGTGAGATGCAATGGAGGCCATGTTATATCCTTGTGTCAGACGGGCTTGAAGTCTCAGGACCCAGCTGCAGGAAGATGCTCTTTAAAAGAAGCAACAAAATGTATTTGAAGGTTATTTGGCTAAATTCCAGTGAATGTTCCTGTAGCTGGTCTCTTAGAGATAGCTCGAAGTTTGTTGCGGCGACCCATCTCACAGCGTTGCTCTGAATGTTTGCCACCTACAAACTCAGACTTGGTCGATATTACTGGAAGATGAACATGTTGCACTGTCTGCGTTGCATTCACAAAAAAGATACCCGAACCCGGACCCTCATTTTGAGAAGCACTTCGACACCCTTCGGAAGGGAATGCAAAGGGCACCGGATTCCCAGATTACATGCCTGTCTCTTTAGCACAACCCGCACATTCTGAGTTTGGTTCGGGACAAGAATGGTCTTTCTGTATCACTTTAGCGGATTTCAACAAGGGCAGCACAGCTTGTGCAGAAGTGTTTTTGTTTGTTTTGACAGACTAGTTTGTGTGTGTGTGTGTGAGTGAGTGCCCATTTGGGGAATGTTTTGGTAAGCCATTGAATTCAGGCCTTCTGTTCAGAGTTGCGAAGGTCACGTTGCCATCCTCTCTTCTTTGTCCCTGCTTCTAAGGCATTCCCGGATTCCCCGTGTGTGAGCCATTGAGGACGATGCTGGATGGCCCCCTGTACAACCCCTTCTTACAGCAACTCGTTTTGAGATCTGAGTTTGTCTTTGTTCTGAAGTAAGTACTCTTTTTGAGATGGTTTCAAAGAAGATCGGAGGAACGCCACCCATTGTGCAGAGTCCCCTCTTTTCAGACACACCCATGTGCTAAGTTGGGCATGTAAGTTCTTAGACTGGTTGGCGGATGGCTTGTTGCAGTTTGGATGCAAGCGGTTCAAAACCTTAGAACCATGCCACGGCCCCAAATCTTTTTCTTGCTTGGGACTCGGGAGTCTTCGCATTCCTCAAGCCCGTGAAGTCAGAGGCTTCACATCGAATTTGTGACTCGCCTCTCCCAAAGTGAACTTTGATTTAGAACCATTTTTTGGGGAATCATTTTTTGGGTTCTAAATAAGTTCACTTTGGGAGAGAATCGTTTTTGAGAATCTTTGTTCTCTCACAAAGTTCGGAGAATCATTTTTTGAGCCACGCCCGTGACTCGAGGCGCTCCGAAACTTTTAATCGTGTTCAGCCCGGGGGCCCTGACCGGGGCTCGTGGGCTCCGACTGGCCTTGCAACAGATGTTTTCAGGAAAAGCCACCCGACCAAGTTCGAGGACTGGAAAAACAAACTGAGCTTTGAGGTTTGAGTTTTCTGCGGCTCAGTGCACAGTTGAAGCGGAATCGAATGGGCTGCGCTTTGGCTTCTCCAGCCCAGTATCCGTCGTTGATGTTTTCTTTTTTGCGAGGCTATTCCCTGCATCCTTTTTCCAATGGAGTCAATCAGCGCAAGTACGACACTCCGGTGCGAAAGTTGAGGGCAAGATTCTTCAGCTTTGCACATTAGCAAATGGGCAATATCAGGGTATCGGTTTTGAGTGGGCAGCAATCGGTTTTGCAGGTTGATAGGCATCGGTTTCTGACGGTGATGTTTTCGTGCATTCAAGTAAGTTACTGCTACCACAGTCAAACACCGCCTCGCGACAATCTCGCGAATGGCTTGTGTTAGGTGTTGCTTTCGAGCACCCAACCCAAAGTCATATCTGAAGCAGCTTCCAGTATTCCAAAATGCACATGTCTCTATTTGCTCAGAGGGAACCTTCTCGGAGATGGCTCGTGAATATAGCCTCCAAATGTCGATCGATCAAAGGGCTTCCACTTGAAATTCCTGCCTTGACGGTTCCCTGTCCTGCTGGGTGTTTAGATAGGGTTTTGTGCGGGTGTCCATTTAACTCTAAAGGTTAATCTTTTAGCAGGAAATCTGAGGGCAGCCCAGCTGCCCATTGTGTTTTCCAAGGGGGAAGCTTTGAGGGCATCCTGGTTGGGTTGCGTCAAAGGGAATTTGAAGTCACACGAAACCAATGAGTAGATGTCTATATATATATATATATGTGTGATGGCACGTGCATACAGAGTATATATATATATATAACTTGCAATGTGAGCAGTCAAGGCTGGAAGGCAGTTGGGATTTGTCGTTGGGGTATGGTCCATGGGTATGGTGGCGCAAGGCGGATGTGGCTTCACCTCTCCAAGAGAACTTTCAGTACCCTCAAGCCAGGCCCTAGCCAAATGGCCGATGTGCAACCCCAAGTATCAAGTGAGTATGTGTCAAATAGGGAACAACCAACCGCAAACACGTGGTTTCCCACGTGTGTGTTCAAACCGCCCTCATGGCTTTTGACCCAAACTATAGCGACTGAAGGCAACGGTGGGTTCCTAAATGAAGCATGTCATGCCGCTACCAGCAAATTTCTCGGCACAACCTGGAAGCCAACATCATGTGTACACACGTTTTGTTTCGGGGGGTTTTCGGAGTCCGGTCAGTTAAGGCAGTGCCGTATTTCGTTTCCGTACTTGCCTAGGGCCCCCAGTGGTCCCCTGTTCGGGACGACCTGACATGGTTGTTGTTGGGAAACATTTTACATTTCTGCTTATTGCGGTTTAGTGGGAAATCCCAACTTAACTGCTAAAAACAATGATGCTCCCCTTCCAACGTCAACCAAGCTGAGGTGTCACCCAAGAGCGTGTACATAAAATCGAGAGCGACGGGCGCGCCGCACGCAGCGCGCTTTGCGTGGCGCGCTTTGCGCGGCGGGCACCGATGGCCCGGAGATCTCGTCGGTTTGAAGAACGAGCTGGTTTTGAAGATTTTGGGGCGCTGAATAGTACATTCCCTGAGCTCCTGGACTTTGCACTTTTATCTTTTCGGGACCGTTCTAGTGGCAAAAGAAAAGTTTAGAGTTTGTACTTGATATTTTGTTGCGTAGTCAACCCAGGATATAAGCACGTAATGTTTAATTTCCCAAAAGAGGGCCACAGGGGATGGATAGGTTTGCTGATTGTTCAGGTACAAAAGAATGGTTGTGCGCAAATGAAGACGAGCTCGCCTGACAGTCAACCGAGCTCACCTATGATGGAGGTCCCTTTTTAGGGGCTTGCCTTCTTTCCAGCTTGTGAATCATAGTCTTGCTCGCAAACAGTTTAAGAATGGTTCCCAACACAGCCACAGGTTCCTCCCATTGGCGCCCGCCCGATCGCGGCATCGCGGCCCAATCGAAATCTCCAAGCCGGCCAGGGCCGTGCGCGAGCCTCGCAAAAGTCAATGAGGGCAGTCGCATCGGGTCCGTAGCACAGGCAATCCGTAGCAAGTCTTTTTTATCGGATTGTGTTGTTACATGCTAGGCGCAGGGGCGCTGTCGAACGGTATCGGTGTTCAAAGGCAATCAAATCACACACGCACACACACACACACACACAGACATATATATATATATGTATATATTTGCACCCACACACACAGACACACACGCACACACAGACACACACAGATATACATATATATATATATATACACACCCACACACACACACACGCACACGCAGACACACACTGATATATATATATATATATACACACTCACCCACACACACACACACACACCCGCGCGCGCGCACAACACGAGCTGAAAAGTCCAATAGATATGTCTGCCCAAAGAAACACTTGTTAAAGTTGAAGAGCCCCCACAACAAGAAGTTTTGTACTATGCTTGATCCTGCTAAGATGGGAAAGATAAGCTGCATTGTACAACATGGATGGTTGGCCAATCCTTTCCCTTTAGAATTTTTGTGAGACCACTAAAGGGGGACTCGGTAACAGAAGGGAACAACATGTGCGTCAGCGTGTGTGTGTGTGTGTGCCGTAAAGGCGTTTTACTTGAGGCAAGTGAAATTCTGATCTACCATCGACCTGCAAGCCTTTCTCTTTTGGACAGACTTTTCCCCGCTGACCAAAAGGAAGCATCAACTTTTGCAGGGTGTGGAAGACCAAGGTGGGCTTAGGGTTCCAAGAGTTTCAGGTTTTCCAAGTGGGCGGAGAACGTGCTTCAAGTGTTGAAGCTTGCTTTGCACCCAAGCTATATTGTTTCCAGGATCTTCCTGCCAACAAGAAAATGTGTTGGCGGCGGGTCTTTGGGAGCACCGAGGCATCCCCATAGTGCAAGTCAACCAACCGCAAACCATGGCTCCTTGGCCCCTTAGACCCTTTGGAAAAGACAGGTGTTCAAAAGGTTAGACCATTCGCTCAGAGGGGAAGAGCAACCCAAAACCATGGTATATAAGTTAGGATCATGTTCTTTCCGTGCTGCATTTTTCGGGGACTCGAAAACCGCATGTTTGAAGAGGTCGGCCCCGCCCAATTTGACCTTTGCCGACCTGAGAGGGGTGCATCTTGGACTCGCCAAGCGCAGAACAGCGCGCACTTCCTGGCAGAGTGAATTGTTTTAAACATGCAGGGCGTGGGCGGTTGGAAGCTCGTGTGTGGCAAATTTGGTGTTTCAGCACCTGGATGGTCCCCTTGAAAGTGAAATCACAAGGAAGTGGTGTTTCAAGCGTGGTTTAGACATTGGCCCCACTCTGTTGGATATGGGCTTGCCATTGTTTCCTTTGGGAGGGCGATGAAACTGTTTTCGCAGGAAAGACACGAACTGGACTCTGGTCGTTTTGATGTGGCTTGGTGAGCAAAATGTTGACCAGGAGTTTCGGTGCAAGAAATGCAAGGGTAGTGTTTGATGTTGAGTCCGTATTGCCTTGGAGGTCCTGTGTACTGGTTTCGTGTTGGCGCATCGTTGGTTAGATATTGCTCGAAATGTTGGCATGCACTAGATTCGGTTTTGCACTAGTCTGCGCGCATGCGTGAGTTGTGAATTGCTTCCGTATTGCTCAGTTGCCCAACGCCGGCCTTTGAACCTTTTGGTTTCCTGTTTGATCCGTTTTTAGTCATGGCCCTAAAAGCTTAACATGTCATTTCTGTGTCCTTGTCATGGTGGGCAGTGTAGAGCTGATTGGGTATTCGCCCGGCAGGATGTTTGAAGCTGAACAGGAAAGTGAATCTAACTACGAATTCTAGAGTAAAACCAGTCAACACTGGCAGCCTAACAGTTGTCTTCTTGTCTAAGAATGCTTGAATTCCCCCAAGACGAACGCAGCCCAAGGAGAAGTCAAAGACATGGTCACGTGTCCGTTTGGCTTCCCCTTAAACAATCCAACAAGGGACCTTAAAAACCAGACACACCCATTTGCTCCGCCTCGCGGAATGCCCTGGTACCTTTGGCGGAATGCAGACGTCGGGAAGGAGTCACCTCGGTCGGTGAGGCTCGGAACGCAATGAAATCGCCTGGGCAGAGCATGCAATCCCAAAGTGAATCCTACACCTCGCTGAGCTCAATGTCCAGCTTCAACCTTTTGGTTTTGCTCCCAATGGCATTGGGACCTTTGGTGAGATATTGACCCCAGTTAGGCCCCTGTTCATAAACCTGGCAAGACCAATGGGGGATGTTCCCCCCCAAAGCGAAGGACCCCTTAGAATTGGACCGTCAACCCTGTCCCTCAACGGGCTAGATTAATCCTGGGCTCCCATCAGTGAGCGGGCGAATCCTGGCGGTCCGATCCTCCGAAGGGCAAAAAGGGTCACAGGCAGCTTGCGTAATGGTGTCCACTTGACTCGGGCAGCTAGAGATTGAGTTCTGACGGCTGTTCTACAAGCTCATTGTGTGGCTGCGTGAATGTGTGGGTGAGTTTACGCTCATTTCACGGCGTCCTGTTGATTCCTTGTTTTGACCTACCTGTTGAGTTGGCAGGAGCCTGTAGCTTTTGGTTGGTTTGTGTCAGGTGTCCTCATTTTAGTCAAGGTCCAGACGCCTTAAACGGCAACGCAGCAGGTCAGAATACCACCAGACAGAGCGTTCGACGAGTTTACACATGTTGGGCACTGAGTGGTTGGCTGGGATGTTCAAGATCAATCTCTAATCCTTATGCCAGGCGGTAGTGTTTGTTGTTGTGTCCCACTGCAGATTGCAGATCAGGTACCTCTCCGGTTTGAGTATACCAGCCTAGAGGTTGTTTTCTGGGGTTGCTCAAACAACCCTTCATCCTTTTCGAAGAGCCGAACGGTTCTCAGGTCCTTTCTCAGAACCCTTGCTAAGTGTTTGTTCAGACGATTGGCAACAAAGCAGATTTTGCTTGG